TTGGCGTACGTGAATTAATTTTGGAGACATAATTTCTCCAAGATTGTCGTTTGTTTTGTTTAAAACGACGCGCCTTTGCATTGAGTATTTTAAATTTATTTAAGTTGTGGACAGTTGGATGATGGCGGAAATAACGCTCTGCCTTTTCCCTCGCTTTTCTGGCTTGTCTCAATCTGTATTAAACCATGGTTTTCGTACATGTGGAGTCGTAGAGGACTTTGGTATACACTCATCAGCTATTTCATTTAAATCGTCAGCAAAAGTTTGAATGGGATCAGTTATATCACTGAAACATTCAGGTCGCAGTTTCGATTTACATATAGTTTGATATAAAGACCAGTTAGCCTTCGAAAAGTTCCATCTTGTATACGAAGGAGAATCAGATGGAGTTATTTCTGAAAGGATAGTTGGGAAGTGGTCACTTCCACAAAGGTCATTATGAACAGACCAATCAAATTCATTTAGGAGGTTAGAATCTGCAAGAGACAAATCTAGAGAAGAATAAGTGCCAGTTGCAGGATGCAGATAGGTGCTTGAATCATCATTAAATATGCACAGGTCATTATTGGAAATGAAATCTTCAATTATTTTGCCTTTAGTATTAGAGTTAGTACTGCCCCAGGGTGGGTTGTGACCGTTTAGGTCACCCATAATAACACATGGCTTTGGGAGTGGATCATAGAGTGATTGAAGATCAGTCAGCTGAAGGTTCGATGAAGGCGGAATATACAGAGAGCATAACGTAAATGCTACACCCAGGGTAAGTCGCACTGCAACAGCTTGGAGATTAGTGTTAAGAGTAACAGGGCTGTGAATAACATTCTGTCGTATAAGGATAGTAGAACCTCCAGTGGCTCTATCACCTGGAGGGGAAAAATAGTTATAGGCTTCAAACAGACGTAAGTTAAAATTATCTGTCTGTTTCAGATACGTCTCTTGCAGACAGAACGCTGATGGTGTTAAATCCTGGATTAATAGCTGTATTTCATTAAAATTTGTCCGGAGTCCTCTACAGTTCCACTGCACGATATTGGTAGATAGACCTATCTTTTAGGCGGATTAATTGGGGATCTACCCCGCACCGTTTTCGAGGGCGACAAGCTATGTGCCCTAGAATGGACGTTTTCGGACACGTCCATGTCCTCAAGTGATCCGTATTTGTTAAATAATTTGATTTTATCATCTGACCCCTTGGGGGCTCTGCCACTTTGTTTCTTTGAATCTGGCTTCGGTTTGCCTTTGTTTTTAACGATTGGTTGAACGTTTGGCGTTGATTGAGACCTTTGAGTTGACTGAGAAGATGTGTCACGGTCATAAGATGGTTCTGATTGGATTTGGGGCGTACCAGGAAGTGGTTCTGCAGTTTGTGTAGATATTGCAGGTGAGAATATCAGAGGAGATTCAGATTTAACCCAGGTCAAGGTTGTCTGACAGCATGCAGATGATTTTGTTATTCTAGTTGTCGCTTCTGACGGTGTTCGGGTGATAGAAGCATAGCTCTCTTTATGCTCTGAGCTTTGAACTAGTTTTTTTTGCATCTGCAAAACTAATGTTTTGGGTGAATTTGATTTGATTTGTCTCCATTTGACGTTTCCAAACAGGACAGCTTTTAGAGTAAGAGGAATGATCCCCTGCACAGTTTGTACATTTTTTGACAGTACTGTCACAATCTTCTGTTGTATGTGTCTTCTCACCACAGTGAGCACATACAACAGACAATGTGCAAGTATTGACGCCATGACCGAACTTTTGGCATTTGAAACACCTTAGAGGGTTCGGAATGTACGTTTCTACATTGATGTTACAATAACCTGCTTTAAGAGATTTTGGAGCATTTGGTGAAGAAAATGAAAACAAGTACGTATTGGTTTTTAAAACAGCATCAGTTTTCCGGGTTGTGAAACGTTTCACATAGAGTACGCCTTGATCTTTCATCTCAGAGACAAGGTCAAGTTCTGACATATCTGCAAACAATCGATCACGGTCTCTGATGATTTCTTTGCTTGTGTTTAAAGTTTTATGAGCTGTGACTGTGACTGGAACGCCGACAAACGATTCTGTACTCATAAGGTTGGCGGCTTGCTGCCGTTTTCCACACTCAACCAGCAGAGCACCGGAACGTAAACGTTATATATTTTTAACTTCACCGGCAATGCCTTGAATACCCTTAGATATGGCAAAAGGGTTCAACTTTCATGGTGTCTTGTCAACAGTTTCAATTACAAGAAAACGTGGCCAGTATTCAATAGACGTGGACAGTCGTTGATCATTATCAACTGGATCAGTGTCCACTGGACGTTTGGTTTTTTTCAAGGGGGTTTCGTAAGCCATGGTTAAGTTTTCAAGGTTCGTCATCCTAACTCCCCACCCGCCACGGAGTATCACAAGGACAATGCTAAAAACAAGCGGATCTCCTACTTGCAGCACCAAGGGTACCCGGATGATATACTCAAGTAGAATAATCAAAAAGTAACTATTCCACCAGATTGGCCCATGAGCCACCGCCTTCTGGGCATAAGACTCTAGGCAAAAACAGTCATGAAATTGTGGATTTGAAATTCAGAGTTCACAAAATTATATACAATAGATCAAAATATCCAAGACCAATTTATAATTTAAATGTGCAAATATATTCGCCATGCACAGGGCTTGGCGTGACCAGCCGATTGATTGAACCGGGCCAGTTCAACCACCCGTCTAGGTGAAGTTAGGGCCAAAGTGGTGTGTTGGGCAAAAGAACACTGTTCCTTGAACCAGTGCCCTCAACCACCAGACTACCTTCCTCCACCGACACAGGGGCGCAACCCACGGCAAACGGGTTGGTGGACCAAATATAACCCCGGGTCCACAACGGGGGGTCGAAGAGCGCTTAGCGTGACCCAGCACCCACCACGAAGAGGTGGCTCTTCACGGGTGCCTCAGACACCAAGACCATGCATACTTCTGGAGTAGTCAGCATATACACAAACAATTGCCACTTGGCAATTTAGCCATAGCTTGTGCTGTTGTCTTTGCCCAGCAAACACCCTGGGGAGTTATTCCACTATGAACATGTACAATATAAGCATGTCAACATTTCATAAACTCCAGAGATGCTACATAGTCCCAGCCATTTCAAGAGTGTGGTCAAAACACAAACTCACCTCTTATCTGAACGGAAAGAGAAATCTGTACGTCTGGCAGGGGATGCAGGGTGTTACTCACCTGGACATACAGGTATGTCCACACTAGTTGCAGTCTCCGCAGATATCGCAATTTGAGAAGGTTGTTCTTAGTAGATGACTTCGCTGCACAACACAAATCCGTCTGAGGGTCCGCCACTGTTTATTCAGACTACACGTCTGAAGCGTAGGTGGGAACTCCAACTCTAACGCCAGGCCTATTCTTCTTCTGGTTAGGTGTTTATGAAGATCGCCCTCGCCGTGTGGCATTTCGGTAGACCTATCCCGCCTCGGGATGCATGCCCGGCCTATACTCCTTTCTCACGCGTCAGCCATTACTCGCGAAAACGAGGCTCGGTATACACGCGGTTTACTTCCGGTATTTCCGCCCCGCGAATCCACCGTCTGCTAGAGAAATGTCATCTTACGGCCCGTCACTGCCACAGTGGACAAGAAGTCTGAAATCTCTACCAGCTGTCGAATCTTCCGACATTGAAGCATGGACGACGAACTGCCGCATTCCAACAGCTCTCCACAAGAAAGCTTACAGCAATTTCGTTGAATCCTACATTCAAGATGTTGAAGGTCAACACTGTGAGAGAATTTTTTGACATTTCATGTTTGGTGTACTCGTAACAATAGTAACATGCCTGTTTGAAGTGCAAGTACCGTTTTATTTTTCATAATTTCTGCGAAACCGATGTGGAATATTACATATTGATTATACATAAGGATATACTTTGAAAGGCCTAATTATGATAAACAATATTTACATGGATAAATAATAGTGCAGTTGAAATTATTATGTCATATTCAATTCATGTGACAACAGCTTGATGACATGTAGTCTTTTATTTAACTCATATATTGTTAAATATCCTGAATATATAAAATTTATGAAACATCACTCTCTGAACAGTTATGCTATGCTTAGTTAAGGTTTATAACTAAGGTTGGTCCGACCCAACCTTAGCGTCTCTAAGGTTGGGTAGGGAATATGGCGACTGCTTTTATTTTATACGAGATTGAGAGAAGTTTGAGGAAGCAGAGAGTCTACAGAGACAGGACGAGTCAACTGGACACGCTGAATGATTTCGAACTGATTTCTCGCTACCGTTTGTCACGTGAAGCTATTATAGCTCTTGTAGAAGACGTTGAGCCAATAATCGGAAGGCGTACACAGCGTTCACACGCCATTTCTGTAGAGACACAGGTGCTCTTGACTTTACGCTATCTCGGCAAAGGTGGCTTCCTGTCCGAGATCGGGGACCTCCACGGCCTTGACCATTCTCTTCCCACAGAGGTTACTTGTCATATCTTCCTACGAACCTCTGTTCTAATACGGCCATATTTCCCGGTTCTTGTAAAATCCCCTAGCGGCAAAAGATCGCAACACGAATTATCTCCCTTCTTTCTATCCAATCAGAACACGTGTTACATCGACTTAGATTCAACTTGACTAACACAAGCAAATGTTGGGCCACAAATATCCCCCATCTGCCGGGGACTTGTGTTGATGTTACACACAAGACGTTTAATGGCTAGCATTTCCGTTGTCAACGAGGGCAATGGAGACGCCACTGATCCGCCATAACATGACTGAGTTCTGTCTAGAAGAAACGTTTGCGCATCGCGCATGGGAAGAGGTTTAGTTTTCTCGAAGCATACGGAAATTACCGAGGCCTTGCGAATGATCACTTTTGAAACAACGTCGCTGATTGCACAACTAAATCTGATTGCCTCCAATCACGAGTCTTGAACGCTCACACCATGAAAGGGCCGTATTAGAACAGAGGTTACGTAGGAAGATATGACAGGAGTAACCTCTGTGGGAAGAGAATGGGCCTTGACAAGTCAACCGTTTCGAGATCCCTGCACAGCACAGACAGTGCTTTTTGCACGGTGCTAAATAATATTCATTTTCCATGGGGACCACAAGAACAGATAGCAGTTAAAGAGGGCTTCTACAAACTATCCGGGTTCCCCAAAGTTCTTGGAGCGGTTGACGGGACTTTTATCCCAATAAGAAGACCCCCTATCGTCGAGGAAGCAGCGTTTGTTTGCCGGAAGGGCTACCACGCCGTGAATGTTCAGGCTATTTGTGACAGCTCTCTTCGGTAAGATCTTTTCTTCACTTTTTTAATAAACAAAAACTGGAAAAGCATAATGATTTCAGTATTTTCCTGTAGTAAGACCGAAAGGTAAAAATATCCCGATGCGTAACGGATTTGTTTACATTAGCAGCAACCTTGACCTGACATATTGATGTTAGTTCCCTGTCCAGTTAAAACTAGTCTATCAATTTCACTGACTTAAAAGACACGTTATCATGTTTATTCTCTCATAGTTCCGGCATGCTACTTTATGTTAAAAAGCTTGTTGACGTTTTAAAACACTTACATTGTTTTATCTCAGATTAGAACTACAAACGTCATGGCAAATATTTATTGAATATAACACACCTAAATAGCGAAGTGTCACTAGCACCTGCCTAGACACCTAGACATGTAAATGAACATACGAGATCAAGATGTAAGTAAGGAAAACCAGCATCTTGATTTCTGATACAGGAAGACTATAATATTTTTAATCCATTTAAATGAGTATTTATAATCCCTTGTTTTCTTGTCTACAGCTTCACAAATGTAGTAGTCAAGTGGCTGGGGTCGACCCACGACTCGCTCATTTGGAGCAACTGCAGCATTGCCACTAAGATGGTACAGCAGGCACGGGATGGGTGGCTCCTTGGTGATTCTGGGTAGGTTGTGGAGTGTTTAACCCCCTTATTGTGACACACTAGCTCGCATTTGTTGGAGGTCATATATTACTGACTAATATCATCTTAATACTCGCTATAGCTAGTCCAGCATAATGACATTAGATCCATATAAGTTTAAGTAAGGATCTATGATTGAAAAGTGGACGTTTCATTTTCACTTCCGCACATGTATATGAGTCGGTTTTCGAATGTATCACTATTTTCATATATTTGGTAATTGGGTATGTATATATATATATATGTGTGTTGATTTATATCAAGAACACCTCTTCCAGCTTGCATATATACATAAGAGGTGTTTTGTATTTAATTCAACACATGTGGTAATTGGTATGTCTCAAAACAAAATATAGTGTCTAGGAAGGTGGAAGTGTCACTTTAATTGTCATATACATACAGAGAGTACACAATGATTTTTTGTAACTATCAATCATGACATCATTGATATGTTGATATATTGGTATAACAATCAAGTAATTATTTTTTTTCAGATATGCATGTCGACCATGGCTTCTAACACCCTTTACTGAGCCGCAGACACGCCCCCAAGAGAGGTACAACTCCACCCACACAAGAACAAGAAACACCATTGAGCGTCCGTTTGGTGTTTTAAAGGCAAGGTTTAGGTGAGTTTGACCTGATTGCAATGTAATCAGAAATTAAATCAGTACTTGCAAACTAAATTATGATCAGGATTATTTTAAACCCCTGTTGCCAGAATATTGTTGTAAGATTTGATTTGTATGAAAATATTCCAGGTGTTTGCACAAGTCCTCTGGATGTCTGTGGTTCAGCCCAGACAGGTGCTCAGTGGTTATTATGGCATGCTTTAAGCTCCATAATTACTGCATCACCAAGGGAGTGCAGGTACCACCAGGAGATGTACTGGAAGAGGCAGAGGCGGAGACCAACACCCCACCCGCTCCCAGGCAGTGTGTAGATGGCAACACCGCTAGGCAGAACCTTGTCAACGAAAGATTTTCATGAAATGTAAGTAACAACCACTCCATTGTTTATCACATAACATTAAATTTAATAACGGTAAAAAATTATCTTGATACAAGTTTGAAACAAAGTGAACAAGAAGAAGTTATGAAGCATAAAAATCATAAAATAGCTTGGTTGTTGTTTTTTGTTCCCATGCATAATTCAGATAAGCTAGTGAAAAGGTAATACATGTACAGCAGGTGTGAGTTAAAAACTCATCAATATCATTTTTTTATGTTTGTCAAAGATTGAATATTTGGGATGAAAGGCCACCATTTATTTATAAAATTATCAAAGCTGTTATTTCTTCTTGCTGTGAATCTTTCAACAGCAGATATGTCTTTCAAAACTTGTAGGAATTGATTAGTTGGTAAGGTGCAAGTATAAATTAAAAAAATTGCAGAAAATATTATGTGGTTTAGTAATTGTTATTGCCTAAAATGTCAAACCATACTGCAGATTCTGATATTTCAAAAGTCTGTATATTTTTGATAATATAACTTTCAATTTCTTTCCAAAAACTCTGGGTTGCATTACACTCCCAATATACATGACATAGACATTCATTTTCAACATAACAAAAGCTACATACAAGATTATCAACAAATTTTATTCAAACAAGCTCCAAAAAGGATTATCTCATAATTAGATAATGAATTTGATTACAATTCATGCAGAAACTGTATTACGGGAGAAACAGTTTTGTATTCTGGTAGATTAATTAAACTTTTTTTAAATTCAAATTTCTCTCTTTCCATGGCCAGCCTGTCAGTCTCCACCTGAAGTCGCTGTTCCGAGACAGCCAGGATTTTTCTTTGTACATCAAGGAGGGCCTTCATTATTCCAGTCCTTTCCTTTTCACTAGCAAGGATGGCAGTCACGCCTGGCTGAGCTTCCCTTTCTGTAAAAAAGGTAATAACTTCATAATTGCAACTGTTAAGTTAAAAATTCTTGTTTGCTATTTATACTACATTCTGAATTAAGGCTTGGAGGGGTCTAAGTTTACTACTTGGGTACATTGTTGTGGTAAAACAATACATTCTTCATCTGGGTCCTACTCAGTACCCACCCGTCCCAGCCCTAATCTAAATCTAGTAACTTTTCTTACTTGAACATGTCCTACCTACCAGATATTCTTGACTTGTATGTAACTTTAGTCCTTGAATGGATTTCAGATGCTGCAAAAAATATCATTAATATTAAGTTTTTTATAGAGATAAATTATAACCAATACATTTAATATGAGTACACATTTATAGTGTTGGTATTGCCATAAAATTATACTAACATATACTTGAAATTACAATGCACTATGTTTGACATGTTTCTGAATATATTGTTTATTCAAAATTGCTTTATTTTATTTTACCATTTACAGTTGTTTGGGGCCTTTCACTGTCAGGTTGTTCGGCTGCCTGCTCAGTTGATGGCTGTGATGTGGAGGGTACTAGGGCAAGCTCTGGTGTAGCAATTGATGGCTGCTGTACTGATGTTGATGGTGCAAATGCACTTGATACCACAGGGAGGCTGGTCAATGTAAGTCCTGCTTCTGAAAATACGTAAATATGTTTTAAATTTAAAAAAAAAAAATTTGTGAAGTAGGTGTAAGGTTCACATTATGTATACCATGATATGCCAAACCCAGCTAGGTTGTGCAATTCTGAATGTTGCCATGATACAGTATTACTTGTAAAGCATTGATCAATTGAAGATATTTTCTTTTCAAATATGAATTTGATTCAATTGATAAATATTGCTTTAATACATACAGACAGACAGAAATACAAATACACATATTTACCAAATGCTTCATCTACTTCCACAACCTTGCATACTGGTGCATCTTTGGTTTCCAAGGTGACGCAAACTGCAAAACAGTTTTAAAAGCAACTTAATGTATCAGTATCATCACACAAACTACATGTATTTTCCTTTGTCGAACGGTTAATGGAAGACAGACATCTGCAAATGACATTACCCTTAAAAAACAACATTACCCTCATTATACTGCAATGTGCAACCTAATAATTGGAATAGTGAATATCTGTAAATATTTAGTTTCAAAACAAAATTGATTTGTTATTGAATGTGATTCTTTTGCAATTGATGTTGAAATGTTGATATGAATTTGACATACATATTCATAGATATATGTATGGTATAATAGTAGTGTATTATCTATCACATACTTTCCTCCACTTCACTCTCTAATCCACCAGTTATTCCTTCAATCTGGCACTGAGGAATCATTGACACAACCTACAAACATAAAAACACACAATTATTACCTAATTGATTTTGATATGCTGGAAATGTTTGAGACTCTGGAATGGGATGAGATAAGGATTTACTAACTTTAACTATGTAAGACCAAAATGAGATAAATTTCATCACTTTTTTAATAACCATTTTAATAATCGATCACAAATCCAACCTTGTGCTCCAGGTCAGACAGACCAACTGGTGCTGGACCCCCGCCTGTCTTGCAGCTCTCACGCCGCACATCAATGGCTTTCTTCTTCACCTGGGATCTGGAAAATGCCATCATTTATACTATAATGCAAATACAGCATAAAATTAGTTATCAATTTGTTTTCAAGTGTTCTAGTAAATCGCATTTATATCAATTTTCATGTAATTTACACACCTTTTATTGCTGTGATAGCTTGCAACATTTTTATTAAGGTTATACCTCATTATGTAAATATTTCTGAACATTAATGAAAACTTTATTTTCAAAAAGAATTATAAAAGATGTGCTAATTGTATATAAAAGAATATATCTGGCAATGTGTTACTGTGTGTAACAACGATATTCTATGTGTTAAATCTCATACTGATTTATTGTTAAAATATATATTTCAATCATTTGGGAAACAACAAAGTGAGTGTTTTGTCATTAATCATTGTTGGTGATGATCAGGATAATTTGCCACCTACAGTTGAAATCAAAATTATTCAACCCCCTACTTAAAAGTCAGAATAATTTTGAAACTGTTAAAATCAATGAAAGCATGACATTTTATTTAATTTACACTTTTCCTTTGTGTTTGTTTGTTAAAAATACTAAAACCATACTTGTGTCACTATATCATCACAGACAATAAGTACTGTCTCTGCAATAAATGTGATTGCATGTTTTGGCCATGAGGGTTGAATAATTCTGACTCCAACTGTACAGTAATAGATTAAAAAAAAAAAAAAATCATATCAATAACCATTTTCAGGGTAAACCATACACATGATTATATTGAAATCTTGATGTGTCTGTATATTTCGAGTATGGTTTAAATTGTTGATAATTACTTAGCTAGTTAAACACACATATATTAAACACAGCTTTGAATTGGCTATCGATATAAAGAAAATCAGGTAATGACTCACTTGTAATCGTTCCATTTCTTCCGTATCTGGGCTCCAGATCTCTGGACGGACGAACAGGCGTTTAGTCTTAAAATAAGTAAAAAAATAAATAAATGTAAATCTCTTTGTTTATATGATTGATATTCACTTATATTATACAGGGTTCGTACAGGTCATGGAAACCTGGAAAAGTTTTGGAATATAAAAACTTGACACATGGTGGGCACAAGTTTGCTATGATTTTTCTAATAAGTAAAATGTGCTATTATTTTTTTGATGTCATTTGGGTCACACAATATGTGTCCAGTCAGAGTCTTATGGCCTTCAATTTCACGTTTAACAATTTATAAATGCACAGGGTCGCTGTTTGTCTTGTGATGGAAAAGTTGCGAAACATCCTGCAGAAATCACGGAAAAGTCATGGATTTTGATGTTTTTTCAAGTATATGAACACTGATAATTAGGTTTGTTGTCGCTCATGTTCCAGACTAGTCACTACACATTTTATAAATATTTACTTTCAATCGATGTTGAAAACGTATTGTGATAGTACTGATACAACCCGGAAGTAACACTTACTTGGTTGCGATTTCATCCCATTCCCGTATTTTGGCCGTGTTGGTCACAATGGATGAAAACGGGCCAAACAATACACTCTGTCGCGCCCGCACCTCATCAGCTATGAAACCTATCTCGGAAGGAGAAAAGTTTGTGTGCCAATTACGCTTTCGCTGGGGCATTGACATTGTTGTCTGCAGGTGCGAACAGGGGAGGTAATTCACGTGGTAACTAGGGACGCTTCCGTAACTCCACCGCTGAAGAGTTCAGCCTTAGTTAAGGTTACGGCTAAGGTTCGAGTCCGACTTAAGGTTGCCCTAAGGTTGTTTTGTGCAACAGGCGTAACTTTTTGTTAAGGTGATCGTAACTCTAACCTTAGTGTTTAAGGTTGACCTTAGCTAAGGTTGTTTTGAACAACGAAACCCTGACGGATACATCAAACCTCACAGCTTAATCAACCTCAAAAAAGCCCTGTCTGATACGACATAAGAACATGAAAAACTGATCGATTAATGGGATGGATTCATCTCTGAAAATGTCACTCTTTATTTGTGGATTTTCTGCATTAGAACTTCGATGAACTTGACTCCATCGCACCATATTTACAGCTGTTGGCTTCAGTGCATTGAAAGTTGAAATAAAATCATCATAGGTTCTAAATCCAGTGTAAAACTGTATCAAATCTTGGTCATGTGCGAATCGGTTTATACCAAACCTTTTGGAGCACACAGCTGCAAGTTGGTCTTCTAATTTCTTTGCGTATTGTTTCAGTGATTCGAGCTGGTCAGCAGTACTAGTTGGTGGGTTGGCATAATCATGATCAGGCATAGGAGCATGTGTAGTAGTTACATCCTCGCTGCTGTGATCGGGTCCAGAAGAAATATCTGTGAGGTTGTCCTCATATGAATAGCTGAAATCAAAATAATATTGTAACTTGTACTTAATATTACTAACACCTAATTCAATAAGTGCAGTGATTTGGGGTACATGAATTTGTGACATATATTAAAAAATAATTTATTATAAAAACTTCACTTAAAAACACTCTGAAATTAAAGAAGTGTTTGTACATTAAATAAGGCAAAACGTTTAGATTTGTAATCAATCAAAAATCACATTTCAAAACTTGGAACTATAATTTAGACAGTTAAAGTTTTTGAAATTTATAATTCCAACCAACCTTCTTGATCGCTTTCTAGGTGGCTGCCTCTCCTTCTTCTCCTTTTAAGAGAAAATGGTTGGCACTGCTCCTTTCTTTAATCTGCGAATTCCTGTTAGGGTTCGCTGATATGAATTTTCATTAAAATGTGCAGAACACACATGAGTTGAGTCTGTGACCTGTATAAATTTTGAGAAAAAAAGTTCAATACAAAAGCATAAGATAGGACATATAAAAAATTATCATAACATATCTTAAACATTCATCCTGAACTATTTATTCTTGAGAAAAGCATATCATATAAGCCTATCAAGTGCATCAATGTCTTCATGTTCATTCAATAGCTATGTTGCACCTACATCTAACTTGAAATGCATATAGAATCCTATCATGATGATAATATTGGCAAAATTTCATTCCGAGATTCAGTAAGCTGTTCTCAAAGTATTTTAAGATGGAACTTAAAATGGGTAATGATATAGCAAAAACATTCAAAAGAATGAAAATATACTGTGTATCATTTAGACCACATATAAACATTTTCTTGTTTCTTCACCCTAAACTTCCTCTCAAACTAAAGATTATTTTTATTTTTCACACTATAGTAAAAGCATCTTTGGTTCACAAAATGTGCATGAAATTTTGACACTTCTATTTTCTGATTTTCCCATTGGGGAGCATTCTCTTCCCACAGAGGTTACTCCTGTCATATCTTCCTACGTAACCTCTGTTCTAATACGGCCCTTTCATGGTGTGAGCGTTCAAGACTCGTGATTGGAGGCAATCAGATTTAGTTGTGCAATCAGCGACGTTGTTTCAAAAGTGATCATTCGCAAGGCCTCGGTAATTTCCGTATGCTTCGAGAAAACTAAACCTCTTCCCATGCGCGATGCGCAAACGTTTCTTCTAGACAGAACTCAGTCATGTTATGGCGGATCAGTGGCGTCTCCATTGCCCTCGTTGACAACGGAAAAGCTAGCCATTAAACGTCTTGTGTGTAACATCAACACAAGTCCCCGGCAGATGGGGGATATTTGTGGCCCAACATTTGCTTGTGTTAGTCAAGTTGAATCTAAGTCGATGTAACACGTGTTCTGATTGGATAGAACGAAGGGAGATAATTCGTGTTGCGATCTTTTGCCGCTAGGGGATTTTGCAAGAACCGGGAAATATGGCCGTATTAGAACAGAGGTTCGTAGGAAGATATGACAAGTAACCTCTGTGGGAAGAGAATGATTGGGGAGCAGTAGAAGATTCCCAATTAAATCAAGGGTTTGGGGCTTAACATGAAATAAAAAGTAAAGATTAAAACCCGTCGGCCCGATCCATATTTTTTAATAGTGATGAGAAACAAGAATATGTGGCCTCAGGCCCCTAAGTTAGGGGAAAAATTTAAATTCAATCATGTTAACATACTAGCCGAGAGCAGCGATGCGGTCCTATACAGCAGGGTCATGTTTTGACCGCACCGCGGCTCTCGGCTAGTTAACATACAAACAAAACCAATGGAAATTTTAAAAATTGATCATAATTACTTTTTTTCCAATATCAGAACTACGATTTTGACGGGTGATACGACATGTTAACCTTAAATGACTATTTATTATTCCATTTGATTTTCGGTACGGCCAAGCTGATCGTGCGCGAAAATCGAGCACCCTTGACTCAAGGCGACTGTCATATCATTTCATGTCTAACTTACCTTGAATAATGGCCCTTCGTCGCATCTGATACTTATTATCCAGCGTTTGCGTAGGTCTTGATCCTTTGGGATATTATGGAATGACAGGTTGCTTCCAGACGGATAGCGGGAGTCGTTACTGCAGGTCGGCACACAGCAGTGTTGCGCCATTTCTGTTTGAATACCGAACCTCGTTGTGAAGTTTTTTAGCGGGTTGCGTGATAAAGGCGTATTGCCTGCACTCGTTTTATACCCAGGGTTGGTCAGAGCTCGTCCTTCGTCTCCAACCCCCTTGCACCTGGTCAGTCGTTCGTCAGTTTCATTTACTTCCGCCGTGCACCTTTGGGTTTGAATTTGAGTCAGGGGCCTAATTATCGTGGTTGGACGTCTTGGTGCTACTTTCCTGAATGAAATTTGTCAGACGTCCAGTTGGTCAGGGGTTATTGTTAAATCCCCTGACCAGTAGTATTTTGAATGTGCCCAATAAGAGTGGGGACAGCAGTAGCCAGCAGCTTACTGCCCCACTGTCACACCCGTCGGTATTGTTAAGAGACAATGGTTTCTCACTGACCAGTGCATGTCCTTCATTAATGGGGGCTACTTGACCTACTTTCTGCTCTATTCTCACCATGGATATACTCGTATTGACCTCACGTCCTTACCTGGACAATGTGACCAAGTGACCATGACCAAACCTGAGATATAATTATGGTACATATATTAGAATACCTTGGGTCATTTACAGTGTCAAGTAGATAGCATCATGTATAATATCGACAGCCCTATAATAAGATGTACAAGCGTAAAATGTATTGCATTATATACCACATTTATAGAGGCAACTTCATTAAATGATGGAGACCGTGGCCTTACTCCAAACACGTCCTCAGAACGATTAGTGTGACCATCATCGCATCAGATAAACAGAGTAGCTCATAACTATGGAATACTGTAAGGGACATTCTCGCGATCTCGCATTCTCGCGATCTCGACCTTTGGAAACAAGCTAAAAATGCCAAAAGTGCGAGAATGCGAGATCGCGAGAATGTCCCTTACAGTATTCCATACATAACAGTATAAAATCCTTCACCTAAAATTTATATATAGCATGACACTTTATTTTATTTTATTTCAGTATTTGGGAGGGGTCATGTTATATTTCACCCGGCTTACTTGTCAGCTTACACCGTCATTAAACTTTCAGGACAATTACATGCATGGTGGGTAATTTACACTGATGTATATATTCTGATTGTAGGCTAAATAAAATTTCTGAATGATAAACAATCTTCATTATTCATTTGGAGCTTTTTGGTTTTTTGTCTTACACGGTGGGAGGTTTTGTCCTAAGGGGGTTTTGTCCACAGGTTTTTTGTCCGCACACCTATATTCTCTAGTGTGAAAGCGAATTTGGCGGTTCCAGGTTTGTATCGTCTACTACACTTAAACTCCCTTGATAAAAGCATAACAATCTTATATATGGCAACCACTCAACAGAGACCGACAGACACACAGGTTTAAAGGGAAACACTGAAAGGGAAAAACGTTCACATTTGACAGACACCCAATTGACAGACACTGAACTAGAAGGTTAATTAGGGTAACACCTACGGGTATAATGGAACAGTCCACTGTGTAGTGAGTAGAGCAGGGTAAGCCTGAAACAGGTTCGTTACTGAGAATGTTGATTGTGGGTAAATAGAACTTTGTTGTGATTAAATGATAAATGATTTCTCTTCTCAAAACTGATTTTACTATTAATTACTATCGAATATAAAATTGATTGTGTTTATTGATAGAAAAGCCCCCTCCCAATAATATCATATGTACAACGGAAGTTAACTGAGAAAACGTTTCGTTGGAGAGATATAGATATGTAGATATTTGAAAACATTCTGATCTGCAGTAAATGAGACACCTGCATTGCCATGTAAGATACGATTAATACCAATCAGTGTTCTAATTTTAACAATACTTTCTAAAGATTGTAACAGTTTATGTCTTTGAGTAGTATACAATGGACATTCAAGGGAGAAATGAAAAACATTCTCACATCCATGGTCACATTGACATGATGCGTCATATTTATTCTAAATAAATCATAATTAAGTGCACTGGTTATATATCTTAATATTGTGTGCAAAACATGTAACTTCTTTATTCCATATGAATACTATTTAGGTTCACATTTGTCTTTATTTGATTTATATGATACAACAGTGTCGCAATTTCTAATAGCTAAGCTAATGTTTTCAGTATGATGATGCCGACACCCGTTAGACTAGAAGGTTAAACCGAAATGTTTATGAAAATAAACTGGTTTTTTTAAATTAGTGTCTTTTCGTTCCATCTTTCAAAATAAATAATATAGCTTCAGTTTGTTCCTGTGTTATTATTTGGACTATTCCATTGTAATGTGTAGGTAACAGGTAGTAGATAATCTGTTCACTGAACCGTAAATGTTGTTGTTTTAAGGTGTCTGCGAACTGGCTGTCTGCGTAATGGGAGGACACCTAATCTGCTAATTACTGACGGTGAAACGTCAAGAGCTCATGCCACAATGCTCTGTTTTGTTCCAACGTCAAACCTGCAAATTGCATGTCTCCGTACCAGACATGACAGAAGTTGAGTATCAAAATGCCAGTTTATGTGAGTATAAACGAGTTTCAAAAAATGATTTCAGTCTGTTTTTACACACTGACACGTTTCACGGTAAATTTCAGATTTTATCCCGAACCATTTGTCAACAGAGACCTTCTTAATGCGGACCACTTGCTAAAATACCACAACACCTTTGGAATGTGTCAGTGCATATTTGTGTAACTAGTATCTGAACATATGTTGCCATTATAAATTCTTGTGCATGTCGTTCGTGCAAAGAAATAACCACTCGTGTTGACACCGTTTGTGAGTAATATCCACATAAGTCTTTTCTAGTTTGTCTTCCCAAATGCGCAGATCGATGCTCATGCTGTTGATCACTGGATTGTCTGGTCCAGACTCGATTATTTACAGACTGCCGCCATATAGCTGAAATATTGCTGAGTGCCGCGTACAACTAAACTCACTCACTGACTCTACGTTTTCTGAAATACCAACATGACATTTGATTATGTATAATTGTTTTACGAACAAGTGTTAAGACACGAGGCAGCAATGCATCAACAGCTACAAGGTACGTGCGTGTGATGTGTGGAAGCTTTATGTGACCTCAAATATGTTGGCCCTTTAAATATTCTTTTTATGGTTGAAATGTTCAACTGTTAGTAAAAGTGCGTATGTACTAATGTGATCAGGGCCTAGATTTTCGTCGAAGCTCTCTTAGGGCTAAGATAGACGTAAGTGCCATTCATTAACATTAACTTACGACTATCTTAGCGCTAAGAGAGCTTCGAAAATCTAGGCCCTGAACACTGTACGAGTTAAAACACGGCGGTTCTTGGCTTCTTGTTTGAGGAGTGAGTGAAGGAGTGAGTGAGTTTAGTTTTACGCCTCTTTTAGCAATATTCCAGCAATATCTGGGGGACACCAGAAATGGGCTTCATACATTGTACCCATGTGGAGAATCGAACCTGTGTCTTCGGGGGTTGAGGACCGAACGCTTTAACCACTAGCCTACCCGCCGCCAGTGCTGTTGGAGAAATTCACAGATAACGGATTCACGGATAAAAGGAGAGTGGTACCGGTCATCATCATAATGGCAAATTGACTATTGGAATTCATCATCATATTCAATATTTGCGAAATCTCAACAGTCCCTCCATCTCCCACCTACCATCGAGAGAGAAAGAAAGAGAGAATGTGTGCATGCGTGTGTGTGCGCGTGCGGGCACGCGTGTGTGTGTGTGTTTTAGGGAGTCATTAGCTGCAAAGTGTGTCAGCTCAATGAAGACAGGAAAATGAACGTACGAAAAGTTATTTGTACACTGCCTTTTCAGTCTATTAAATGACGAAATGTTGAAGTTGAAACACGCCGACTGGATGGTTCGAACCAGTCAGTAGTATAGACTGCTGGTTCTTGAATGACTCGAATGTTAAAGAACCACTAAACTTTGTTTTTTGTTACTCTTTTAACCGTTACATATGAAAGATTTGGGGTTAGTCTTATGCGGAACACCAAATTTATTCTTTAAAAACTTGTGGTTAATTAATACCGAGCGATTAAAAGTGGCCAAAAAGTCGCCTGCTTCTCTCTCGCCCGCCAACGAAACCACAGACAGGTTACGTAACTCTGTCGCCAGAGCACTGCAGTGACGTCATATGAGGAACGATTTTCATTTAGTTGTATAGAAAGTGTGTAGCATGCTCATCATTTTGATGATTTCTCGACATCAACGACGACATGCCGAATCGTTGCTTTGTCGTCAATTGCTCCTAGGGGTCGGGTGATGGTGTCACCATGCACAGATTTCCACAGGACCCCGCAGTTCGTGCTAAATGGGTTATGTTTGTGAGTGCGAAGCGAGCGTTGTGGAAGCCTGAAACGATATCTTACTTGTGTTCAGATCGCTTCACGGAAGTTAAAGAATCAAAACTACTTACTAGTTGTAGTAAAATATGTATATGATTGATGACCATAAAGATTTTCCATGACACAACTTGTAACATAACGATTTCTTCCTCGGAAGTGAGGTTGTGGTCGAAGTTACAATACTCCGCGATAAATTTCTTGCTACATTCACATGGTTAATGTCCACTCACCAGTATGTAGATACTAGTCAATGTGCGTCTTTATATTTGGTCTTATAATCCTAATTAGTTTGTTATCATACTTGTATGCATTTTGAAACTAAATAAAAAGCAGACGATCAGCTGATACTTAAAGTGAATTTATAACAGAACTGTAATAGCTAGACATTTTATAGTTTGCCAATGTGAATCATAATCCGCACACACACCCTAGTGTATGTTGTCTGTCTCATTACGCTTCACGGCGAAAACAATGATTCTGTTGAATGCTACGACAAATGAATAAAAACAAAATGCAAATATTAAAATTAAAACAGATTAAAGTTATAGGAACAATATCAGGCCATTACCTTGTTCGAGGAATGTATCCATCAATATCCACAAAACTGTTCCAAATGATGTGTCTTTTAACAGTTTAATATACGAAAAAGTGATCAGGTATTGGTGTATAGTCTCATTGGTCACCCAAGATAGCACACCTGGCAACTAATTGCATAATGTCCGCCTTTCTTTAAAAACAGTAATTTAGTTAGCCAATAATGGGCAATCAATCAATGTATTGCCGGTTAATCCTTTGAACGAAGCACGTTGTTTTTACGCAGACACCGACACGACAGAGTGTATTCAGTATAGATTAGTAAATCTACATACATAAACACTACCTTTTGACAATTCCGCTGTGTAAGATAAAAGTAATTAATCAATCAGCGTGTTATCGGTTAATCCTTTGATCGATGTTTATAATGTTGAATATTTACTCCAGACACAAGAAATGCCAAATGGGAACCTTTGTCGGGTAATCTAAGTGTGTTACCACTAATTATACCTGTTATAAATTCATTAACTGACCATCAAGTGAATGATGACAAATAACATGTGTAGGTTTATACCACCTAACACGGGCTACAACAAGGGAGTATTAATTGCTGTATTGCATGTGAAAACTTATGGGCCGACACTGTTTTGAGAATACAAACAGATTTTTACATGACATGATTAAATATCGAGGTAAAAAACACAGAAATGGGATCAATTTAGATCAGTCATTATACAAATAGGGCCTAACGACACCAATCGATTTTGACAGAATCGTCTATGAAAACAAGTTGTAACTCGGAAACTAGGCAAAGCAGGAGACAAAATTAAATGACAGTAGATTGTGAGAACATATAGCTTTCATTTTCCACAACAATTGTCACGATTTCAGGTTTATACAAGCCTGTAAACAAGATAATTTACCCCCTAAAATGCAGGTGAATTCTGCATCGGCCCTCAAAGCTATTCCTCATATGACGTCACAGAGACGCGCCGCTCTGATTGGTTGAAATTTCGTTTGCGGGTGAGAATTGTGCACTGTTGTCAAAAAGGTCGATTTAAGTCAATTAAAGGTCGAAATGAGTAGTTTTAATGACGGGGTTTCATTTATAACGATGCCAGTTAGTGATTTATGTATTTGTACCCCCTAGGGTTTATGTGACCTTTAAAAGGAAAACACAGAGCGCCGCATTTGGTAGAAATACACACTACTATTAAACACGAACACATGATAACCTCGTCACGCCGAAGATCCGGGTTCGAATCCCCACATGGGTACAATGAGTGAAGCCCATTTCTGGTGTCCCCCGCCGTGATATTGCTGGAATATTGCTAAAAGCGGCGTAAAACCAAACTCAGTCAGTCAGACTTGATAACCTCTCAAAAACCTTTCATTTTGAACCCGTGACCCGACTGCCAGCAGGTCGGGGGGTCAATAACTGGGACACCCCGAAACGTCAAGGATAAGATAACACGGGACGATATTGGAGTCGCTCACTTCACCACCAGTGACTCTGCATGAAAGGTATGTAAGTGAACGAGTGACCCCCACACACAACACACGAGCTGGGTAACCGGGTAGCTGGAGGAAGAAAAGGTTCTCAACATGGACAGACTGGAGCTCATATCTCGTTTTAATCGCAAAACCTTTCTCAAGTCAGCAGGAACATCTGTTCTCTTGTACGTGATATACCGCGTTATCAAGTTCCTGGTCTGGTATCGCCGTTTCTTCAAGTTCTTCAACAACTGTCAGGGCGTTAAGGACTTCTCTTGGAAGACAGGCAACCTGCATGTGGTGAGTTGTGCTTGGTGGTATGGATATGTGTGTGCTTCATTGGCCGAGTTGTGCTTTATGATGATGTTTGTATGTGCTTCAGTTCGTGAGTTGTGCTTAATGATGTATGTATGTGCTTCATTTGGTGAGTTGTGCTTAATGATGTTTGTGCTTCATTTGGTGACTTGTGCTTAATGATGTATGTATGTGCTTCATTTGGTGAGTTGTGCTTAATGATGTTTGTTTGTGCTTCATTTGGCGAGTTGTGCTTAATGATGTTTGTATGTGCTTCATATGGTGAGTTGTGCTTAATGATGTTTGTATGTGCTTCATTTGGTGAGTTGTGCTTAATGATGTTTGTTTGTGCTTCATTTGGTGAGTTGTGCTTAATGATGTTTGTATGTGCTTCAATTGGTGAGTTGTGCTTAATGATGTTTGTATGTGCTTCATTTAGCGAGTTGTGCCTTATGATGTTTGTATGTGCTTCATTTGGTGAGTTGTGCTAAATGATGTTTGTATGTGCTTCATTTAGCGAATTGTGCTTAATGATGTTTGTATGTGCTTCATTTAGCGAGTTGTGCTTAATGATGATATTTGTATGTGCTTCATTTAGCGAGTTGTGCCCCGTGGTGGTATATTTATGTGCTTCGTTTGTCGAGTTGTGCTTGATAATGGTGTATGTGTGTGCTTCATTTGGTGAGGTTTGCTTGACGATGGTGCACGTATGTGCTTAATTTGATGAGATGTGCTTGACGATGCTGTTTGTATGTGCTTCGTTTGATGAGGCGTGCTCTATGAAGATGTATGTATGTGCTTTATTTTGTTAGTTGGGGTGATGATGGCGCACATGTGTTCAGTGATGGTGTATGTGGGTGCTTTAAAATTATTTGTATTATGCCATGTCACGCAGTGTTCTTTAATTCAAAGTTCTGACAACAGTAACAAAACTGCTAACGAAAACACCTCATGCAAATTCAGCTCCACGTGTTTCACGCAGTGAAAACTTCCACGAAGCAACAATCGCGTTTGCGCGAATGTTCTACGTTTACGAACACTGTTCTGAGGAAAATGCAATAACCATCCGTCTTTGTTACAGTTGGTTTGTGTGTGTTGTTTTACGACGCACTGAACATTTCCAGCTATATAGCGGCGGTCTGTAAATAATCGAACCTGGATCAGACAATCCAGTGATCAACAGCATGAGCATCGATCTACGCAATTGGGATACGATGGCAACCAAGTCAGCGAGTCTGGCCACCCAATCTCGTTAGTCGCTTTACGACAAGCATGGGTTGCTGAAGACCAGTTCTAACCCGGATCTTCACGGGTCTCTTTGTTCCAGTACCCCCAGGATTTTGAAAAGCGGGCCCTGGTAGACAAAGAATGGATGAGAAGGTTCCCCAAGTACCACAGGATCTGGAGAGGTCCGTTCCTGCCTGTAATCAGCGTCTTCCACCCTGACACTATCAGACCCATCATCAAGAGTTCAGGTGGGTGGGGCTATTGATGCCGTTTTGCTATTCTGTATTTCCACTTAGGAATGTGAGTGGCAAGTAAGATTTCACCTCGCTTTGAACAATATTTCACAACGTTTTTGTTTGTAGTGGGTATGAAAGGCCGAAGTGATGCTGTTCTCACACGTTGTGAGTGAGTGATTAAGTTCAATTCTACGCTGCTTTTGGCAATGTTCCAGCAATATCACGACAGGGGACACTAGAAATTGGCTTTACACAATGTACCCATGTGTGGAATTGAACCAGGGTCTTCGGCGTGACAAGGGAACGTTTAAGTACTAGGCTACCTCACCTCCCTTTGTACCCACGAACACGGGTATGTTGTACCGAGACAAACATGAACAGGACAAACCGGGATTTGAACTCCGACCATATGTTTATGGGCGGCCTAGAGGATGTAGCTCTGTGCAGCGAATTCCGATACTGGAATACAGTCGTATTTTCCAGAATTCTTAGACAAAAACATTATTTAACAGTAAATTTCTATAGGGTCCGTAAGTAGGTCATGGTTCTTCGCAGGACCTTAGTACTTCCGGTGACATCACGCTTCTCACCGGAAATCTAGTAACGGAAGTAAGTTGGGCCCGTCTTTCATATCGCAAGGTGGCGCGCAAAGAGACCCGGGAACCAGCTTAGTACCGGGAGTAGCGCCCCGGCGAGACTTACAGGCCCTATTTTATCCCAAGTGTGAATTTTATTTTTCAGAACCGAAGCCAAGAGGTCTTTTAGGCCCGTACGAAAATCTCGTCCCCTGGCTCGGGGAGGGCCTTTTGATTGCTGGGGGACAACGCTGGTACCGATCACGCCGTCTGCTCACACCCGCTTTCCACTTCGACATCCTTAAACCCTACGTCGAAGTCTCCAATAACGCCATTGACACCATGATGGTATTTCTTCTCGTGTCGTACACTTACAAATGCTGCTAAACTACTACTATAACATATTATAGTAAAAAATGTGGAAAGTCCCTGAACGACGACTGCGTCGAATGTGTATCAGTGTGTTAAGAAGAACACAATCCCAAGAGTCGTTCCTTTGGATAAATCTCGCTGGCCTGAAAAGTGAAACAGAAGGCTTCTATTTTCTTCTCAGGTCTCGTCACATGGAGTACATATTATTAATGCTAACGACCGACGACGACGTAATAATCTTGTTTCTTCTCATAGGTCGTGAGCCTCCAAAACATATACTCTCAACATCGCAATTGTATTTTTCTGCGATCGGGTGACCACCTTTTAAGCGCTTAGACTGAACAATACATAATGCTTGTGAACATTTCTTTGTCCAGGAGAAGATTGACAAGCACGTGGAAGGAGGCACCAGCTTTGAGTTGTTCAACATGGTCAGTCAGTGTACATTTGATATCCTGTTGAGATGCGCCATGTCGGTCAAGGAAGACATACAGCTCCAGGGGTAAGTGCGGGGAATTTGATATGTGACAACAGGGGTGAGTACGGGGAATAGTTTTTCGCTCTCTTGCTTATTTATTTTTGTTGGGTATGTTGCTATTTGAATATGCATCACTTGTAAGTGTTTCAGGTTTGCTGGATTTATTTTATTTTTTGTGATCTTTTTTCTTTGAATTGCCGGGGGTCAGTTTATATGTTCATTGACTTCGATTTTTATATATTTGTTTGTGGTGTAGATAATGAATATATGTACAGGCGCGTGTGGGGGGAGGGTCGGGAGACGTTGAGGGGAAGGGATGTTGATAGTGATGGTTCATATTTACTTAATGGATGCATACAAATACACACTGGCTACATATATTATATTTTGTGTTGTAGGGAGACACATCCATATCTCAACGCAGTCAATGAATTACTGTCACTGGGAGTAGACAGGAGCTTGTGAGTATATATCTATTGTGCTGGTAAATATATGTGAATCATACTTACTTTTAGGTGCATAGTTTCCTCATTGCATTTTGGACGTCATTCACAGTTCGTCATTGCAATATCATAGGGAATTGCCCCATTATAATCTGCTTGAATAATTCGATAATGAGTGAGTGAATATGGTTTTACTCCGCTGTTAGCAATATTCCAGCAATATCACGTCGGGGGACACTAGAAATGGGCTTCATACATTCAACCCATATGGGGAATCGAACCAAGATCTTCAGCATGACCAGAGGAAGCTTCAACAACAACAACAACAACAACAACACACACACCCTGATGGTTACAGCTTCCGTTCGTCAAGCAGAAGCCCTTTTCTGTTGTTTGAATATTGCTAAAAGTGGCGAAAAACATATTCCCTCATTTAATCACTTCGCGGTGTCAGCTCTAAGTGGGAGAAAACCTGAGAACGATGCCTGTCGTAGGTGTTTCTTATGTGTATCAGATAATCTATGTGACATTAGAATATGTGTCAACCATTCGTAGACATTTGAGTGAGTGAGGGACTTGGGTTTAACGCCGCTGTGATAAGTATTTCAATTTTACCAAGAGGAAAAGTCCGATTCATGCAGTATGGTGCTAACAAACCTTGACTGAGTGAGTTTAGTTTTACGCCGCTTTTAGCTATATTCCAGCAATATAATGGCGAGTGACATAAGAAATTGGCTTCACACATTGTACCCGGGTCTTCGGCGTGACGACCTAACGCATTAACCACTAGGCTACCCCACCATTCCGGATGATAGAGACTGGGTATTCCCTGGCGTGGGTGTTTTATAATTTACTTGCACAGTTTGAATCACATGTGAGAAAATATATGGTTGAGAGTCAAGTAAATGTGATAGACAAATTATCTTCCAGAATATTCAGAATCTGCTATTTGTTTTATTTAAAATTGTAAAACGAACATCGTCTGATACGAAAATGATTGAAACGTCTGTATTCAGCAAACCTTGGCACCTCTTTGACTTCGTCTTTTACAATACGGCTGCGGGAAAGAAGTTTAAGAAGCATTGTGACTTTGTACATCGCTGGGCGGAAGACATCATCGACAAGAGGCGGCAGACCTTGGTCAGTGTTTAAACTTGAACAATCTGTACGCACAACAGTTTCTACAATTCGTTACAAAGTATAATGCTCATTGTGAACCAAAGCAGAACTATTAACATTGTGTTCGTGAGACTATATGACTGTATATGCTGCATTGATTGCCCATGTGTGTTTGTTTGTTGTTTAACGCCGCACTATAGCTATATAGCGGCAGTCTGTAAATAATCGAGTCTGGTCCAGGCAATCCAGTGATCAACAGCATGAGTATCTGTCTACGCAACTGAGATACGATGACGTGTGTCAACCAAGTCCGCGAGCTGACCACCCGATCCCGTTAGTCGCCTCTTACGACAATCATGGGCTGCTGAAGATCAATTCTGACCCGGATCTTCACGGGTTACGCGTTTCTGTAACATTTACTGTGTGTAACGTATTGTAGTACTGTCATGTGTGCAACATCTTACCCTGTGTAGGAGAGAGATGGTCCCCCCAAGGCCCGCTACCTGGACTTCCTGGACGTCCTGCTCAGTGCCAAAGATGCTGATGGCAAGGGCCTCACCCCGCTAGAGATCAGGAATGAAGTCGACACGTTTCTATTTGAAGGTATGATCAGTGCATAGAATTCATGCCAAACCGTGAACGTTAATTTCAGTAAGACAATATTCGAATGAAGAGACCTGTGTTAGAACATCGGTTGTTTACTTGGAGTCAAAAATGTACCACTAGAAATCATGCTGACGAGTACTGAGATGCGTGCTCCTGCTGACCAGTCCAGTACAAAATACACAGATCGACTTTCAAGATACACAGGGACCAAGAATTTTAGATTTTCCTCCAAAATTACCCTAGCATTATGTGATGAGACTTGAACGCTGTGCAAGCCGCTTATGGCCACCCACATCCCTATTTCTAAAATGGGCGATCGGGTAGCCAAGTGGTTAAAGCGTTCGTTAGGCACACGGACGACACGGTTCGATTCCCCACACAGGAACAATATGTGAATCGCATCTCTGGTGTCCCCGCCGAGATATTGCTGGAATATTGCTTAAAGCTGCGGAAAACGTTACTCACTCACTCACTCACCTATTTTAAACAACGTCGTCACTCCCTACCCACACACCTTCAGTAGGAGCCAGAATAAAGCGAAGGCCTGTAGCTGTAGTGTGACGATGCATGTCTGTAGATACTTCAAGTCACGTACCATATTATGGGGACCCGACCGTGTTCCAGTTCCATAATGTCTGCGTGTATGATGTTCGTGTTGTAAGCGTTGCTTTGTTAATTATTGTTACAAACATGCCCCACACTCATATGAATTCATTCTCACGGAGCCAATGGTTCAAAGGTTGCGCAATACTGTGATTGTCGTCACTGCTTAATATTGATATCACGCTTGGAATGAACTAATATTTTTACATACGATGAAGATAACTAGATCTACCATTTTCTGATATGCATGCAACAGCGATCAGGACGTTAGTAAACATTGATATTTTCACACAAATACATTAATTCGACATTCTCGTTAATCCGACATATTCCTCTGCAACCACAAGTGTCGGATTAACGAGAGTTGACTGTACTGTGTTCCCTAAACAGGTCACGACACAACGACCAGTGGAATATCATGGACGCTGTTTACCATGGCCTCCAAACCCGAGTTCCAGACCAGGATCCAGGAGGAACTGGACACACTACTGAATGGAAGAGAGTCCAAGCACATCACCTGGTAGGGCACATCACCTAGTTTGGTACATCATCATTTTGAGAACATCACCTGGTAGGATACATCACCTGAAAGGTCGCATCATTTGTTAGGTACGTCACTTTGTGGAGCACATGTGGACCGAAGAGCACATAGCCTGGTAGAACATTATCTTGTTAGCTGCATCACTTGGAGCACACCACATGGTGGGGGAAGATAATCTGGTAGAGCACATTACCTAGTGAGTAACATCACTTTGGGCACTTCTCATGGTAAGGCACATCGCCTGGTAGAGCACATTGCCTAGTTAAGAACATTACTTGGAGCACATCACATGGAAGGGAAGGTCATCTGGTAGAGCACATCACTTTACGGGTAAATCACCCGGTAGGGCACCTCGGCTGGTAGGGTAAATCACCCGGTAGGGCACATCAACTGGTAGGGTAAGTCAGCTGGTAAGATAAATAGGCAGCCAGGGCACATCAGCATTTAGGGTAAATCAGTAGGTAGACTAAATCAGCAGGTAGGGCACATCAGCAGGTAGGGTAAATAACCCGGGAGGGCAGATTAGTTGGTAGGGTAAATCACCCGATTGGGCACATCAGCTAGCACGGTAAATAAGCCGGTGGGGCACATCAGCTGGCACGGTAAATCAGCCGGTAGAGCACATCCGTTGGTCGGTAGGGCACATCAGCTGGTACGGTAAATGAGCGGGTGGGGCACATCAGCTGGTACGGTAAATGAGCCGGTGGGGCGCATCAGCTGGCACTGTAAATCAGCCGGTAGAGCACATCAGCTGGTACGGTAAATCAATCGGTAGGGCACATCAGCTGGTAGGGTAAATCAGCCCGTGGGGCACATCAGCTGGTACGGTAAATAAGCCGGCGGGGCACATCAGCTGGCATGGTAAATCAGCCGGTAGAGCACATCAGTTGGTAGGATAAATCAGTCGGTAGGGCACATCAGTTGGTAGGGTAAATCACACGATAGGACACATCAGCATGTAGAGCACATCAGCTGGTACGGTAAATCAGTCGGTAGGGCACATCAGTTGGTAGGCTAAATCAGTCGGTAGGGCACATCAGCTGGCACGGTAAATCAGTCGGTAGAGCACATCAGTTGGTAGGATAAATCAGTCGGTAGGGCACATCAGTTGGTAGGCTAAATCAGTCGGTAGGGCACATCAGCTGGTAGGGTAAATAAGATGGTGGGGCACATCAGCTGGTAGGGTAGATCAGTCGGTAGGGCACATCAGTTGGTAGGGTAAATCAGTCGGTAGGGCACATCAGTTGGTAGGGTAAATCAGTCGGTAGGGCACATCAGTTGGTAGGGTAAATCAGTCGGTAGGGCACATCAGTTGGTAGGATAAATCAGTCGGTAGGGCACATCAGTTGGTAGGGTAAATGAGTCGGTAGAGCACATCAGTTGGTAGGGTAAATGAGTCGGTAGGGCACATCAGTTGGTAGGGTAAATCACCCGATAGGGCACATCAGCTGGTAGAGTAAATCAGCAGGTAGGGCACATCAGCTGGTACAGTAGGTCAGCTGGTAGGGCATATCAGCAGGTAGGGTAAATCGAAGTGGGTATTACCTGGAAGAGCAGATCATACGTAAAGGTTCGCCACTTCGAAGGGTTCATCACCTGGTAGGACAGTCACAGGGTAGGAGCACATCACCTGATCATGAATATATATTGAAGGCATCCCCTGAGTTTTCCAACAGTATTAAATAAGGACAATAACCAAGTACAGTAAAGGGCACATGCCTGGGTGGAACACATTAAGCGAATCATGCACTCAGATCCAAATGCCACACATCCGACATAATTTGACATACATTGTATTTGAAATCATATGAGTTAAAGACCTTTAATTTTTTGCCTTTTTTTTCGTAAGCAAGAAGTTCAAGTCGTGAACCTAAATACTTAAACTTCGCCAAATGGCTGTGACAACAGCCACATCCGAAACAAATCATGGGTTAAAGGTACACAGGGCTCCCTGTCAGCACAAAAGCAGCTGCAGACATCCCAAGACAACAAAACCCTGAAAGGATATCCCAGTACAATGTGGGAAAATCTGAAAACAATTCATATGTTTTATTATTTTGTTACAAGGGATGACATCACCAAGCTGGAGTATCTGACCCGGTGTCTGAAGGAAGGGATGAGGTTCCACTCACCCGTTCCGGCCATTCTCCGAAAACTGGAAAATCCCTTGGAAATTGATGGAAAGGTGTTCCCAGTTGGGACCCTTATCGGCATTAATATATGGAAGGTTCATCACAACCCGGAAGTGTGGGAAGACCCGGAAGTGTATGACCCTGATCGGTTTCTGCCCGAGAACATCCAGAAGAAGGACAGCTACTCTTACATCCCCTTCTCTGCAGGCCCAAGGTAATACTCCATAACAGCCTCACAACTGTCTCTGACGGTTTAGTGAAACCTGGTCGATGATAATATTATTTGTTGTCAATGTGTCAAGCTGTTCTAAGGTTTATGGTACCTGCAACTGTAGGTAATGTCTGAAGGCAATCTATGTGTAGGATTAGGTTTGGTTTGTTGTTTTAAGCCGCTCTCAGCAATAGTCCAGCAATACTGCGGCGGTCTGTAAATAATCGAGTCTGGACCAGACAATCCAGCGATCAACAGCATGAGCATGGATTTACGCAATTGGGATAAGAAGGCATAGGTCAACCAAGTAAGCGAGCGTGACCACCCGATCCCGTGAGTCGCCTCTTACAACGAGCGTGAGTTACTGAAGATCAATTTTAACCCGGATCTTCACGGGTATGTAGGATTAGGGTATCGTAGTTGCCCATGGTAATATATCTACAGGCTGTAGGTAGTGTGTCAAACCACTCTATTGGTAGGTTTGGGAAAACGTAGAAACCTAGGCACTGAGAGTGAGTGAGGAGTTTAATGCCCCTTGTTATCTGCTCGTATGTCCACTATGGAGCACCAGAGACCAGCTTTGAAACAGAAAATAACTCTACAGTTTTACGTTAGATGTGGTGGTGTCTGCACCACCGTAAATACTGATCCATTGATCGTGATGCATTGCAATGATATGTCTTCAGTGCGAAGTGGCTGTACAAATGGGTACTCCATAAGAACTCGACACAAATATTTGTCCAGTCCCACTCATTGTTCTCATTTGCCTATTTCATTCAGATTAGGGATTTAATATTATGAGCTATTTACATGATTTCAAAATTCACATTTCATTAGCAGTTCGGTTTGTAACAGTTCACAGATATCAAATATGATTAATTTTGATATTTTCTTTTCAGGAACTGTATTGGACAGCACTTCGCCCTGAACGAGCAAAAGGTCATGCTTGGAAGAATTCTTGAAAGGTTTGTTTATGTATATTACATAGATATAGATATATATTTGTTGTGCCATCGATGCGATTAGACGAAATGAATTAAGTATGAATTAAAAGTGCCAGCTGCTAATGCAAAAATATGAATAATTTTATTTTTTTTAATTTCAGATACACGTTAGAAGTAGATCAAAGCCATAAAGTCGGACGAAGGACTGCCGCTGTGATGAAGTCAACTGAAGGATTGTGGGTGTACGCTAGACACAGACATTGAACATTCCAGTTGAACCTATTGACGCCGAACTTTCCAGATTGACATACTGACACTGAACATTCCAGAGGTACATATTGGCACTGAACATTTAGAGAGGTACATGCTGACACTGAACATTCCAGAAGAACATATTGACACGGAATATTTCCAGAGGAACATATTGACACTGAACATTTCCTGAGGAACATATTGACACTGAACATTTCCTGAGGAACATATTGACGCTGAACCTTCCAGGGGGAAGACATTGACATTAAACATTATAGAGGAGCATTCTCACCTTAAACATTACATACAGACATGCTGGCAGTGAATATTCTAGCAGAGCATATTGACATTGCACATTACAGAGGGACCTGTTGGCAGTGATCATTCCTACGGCCTACGATGAACTTAAAGGATTTGGAAATAGGTGAACAGAAAATATATTAAACAGTTGTGTTCTGATTATCAGTAATCAGCGTACACGGTTTGATCAGTGACTGCCTGATAAGGCCGATCGGTGGCATGATGCAGATCCTAATTGCGACATGATTGTTCTTGTCATACCTTATTCTAGTAAACCTGTGTTTTCTTCATGTATTTGCCTATTGTCTCAGACCTGGCGGGAACTCAGCACTTTGTATTGGTCCCCTGGGCGAATCGCATGTTTGGATTGTGAACGTTTGATCATCAGATAACACTATTGTGTTTGTATGTTCTGTCTTTCTGTGAAATCCATGTTTCTTTGATTTCCAACACATGTGAATAGATGAAATAAATGTACTCACGAGGTCATCTATATACCTGAACCTTAGAGGAACCTTGTGGTTCATGTATATAAACACTTCATGTGTATAAAAGTCAGTGCAAAGAAAAACCCAGTCTTGTTCTCACAGCTGTGAAAATTATATGAAGGACCACTGAAAATCCGTGATGACACCAGGTGTTCGCGAAAAGGGTACGCAGTGCTCTTGCCTTGCAATGGCGGCATTTAAACAGACCAGACAAGTGATCGATGAACTAGAACATCCAGTTGAATTACGCCGACTGTGTAGAAATCCAGAGATTTCGCTGCTTACATTTTTTTGAAGGAAAACATTTTGGAAATAGATATGTTTTACAACACAGTAATGGGCAATGAGAAACAATTCTGCTGGAAGACGACACGTGGAGTACTCATGGGATTACTTGCTGCTTGTTCAAGTCAAATATTTCAGTATCTGAGTAGCCATATGTGCAGTTACTATCAGCCTCGATATACAGGGTGCGGTGGGGTAACATAGTGGTTAAAGCGTTCGCTCGTCACGCCAAAGACCCGGGTTCAATTCCCCACATGGATACAATGTGTAAAGCCCATTTCTGGTGTCCCCCGCTGGAATACTGGTAAAGGCGGCGTAAAGCTAGACACACTCACTCACTCATTATACTGATCATGACCATTAAAAACTGGAATGTAATAAGACTGACATTAAAAGTTTGTTTTTAAAATTAGACCACCGTATTTTTTCCATGAGCCATAGTTGTTAAAACGGTGGCAAAAACATTTAAGAATTTGATTTTTTTCTGTTACAGCTTTAAAACTGAAATTCTTGAAAACAAATTCAGGTTAATGTTTACGTGTACTCAAATACTCTTGTGAAACCTTGTTATAAGTTCCCTCGCGTATATCTGGGATGTTACGACGGCAACGTAAGTTGATGCTCGCACTATCGACCACTGTGTATGTAACACGAGCAACGAGCCACGTTGACTCAATGCGCTTTGTGGACCGGGACTCGTTGTGTGTGGCTGCGGCGACCATCCGATCCCCATCTGACTGTGGGTGAACTGGTATTACACCGATTTGAAATGTATTTCGGGTATATCACGACGTGTCAGGTTCATCGGCAGCTGATTTGACATCGGCCACTTTGGGTAGGTGTTAACAAACCTAGAAACAGGGAAAGGGCAAACTGGGATTTGAACCACGATCTGACGTGCCTAATGGGACGTAACTCTCACACGAATTGCGGCGGCTTCGTCATCCGTGACAGGTTTGGGATGTTTGGCCTCTTTTCCTCACCACGGGGAATAGGTACTGGGGACATCCAGAATACCCACGGGAGACAAGTAATTGCTGCAATAGCCACATATTCATGACGACCTGTGTCTAAATGGCTAATTACCTCATGACAAGTTTGTGTCTCTGAAATGCCTGTAACTATGAAGCATGATGCAGTATTAATCCAGCTAATTACTGGTTATATTTATTACTTAATCCGTGTCAGGAGACTTTGACAGTACAGGCCTTGGGCTTTAGGCGAAGAGGGAAGGTCATAACCTAAGCCTAGCCAGGAAAGGGCTAGGCTCTAGGTCACTAAGACAGCCTCTATATGTGTTGACAGACACATACTACTTCTTGTATAGACCAAAACTGTATACACTGAAGACTAAAACGCTAAAATAAACACCAACCCATCCAGTATCTTCACGTCTAAACTGAAATTTGCTGAAATAAACACAAAACTCCCCTCAGAAATAATTTAACAAACAAACCCAAACAACGCAAAATACACAACACTTAAAACAGCCAAACTGGTGCCATGTTTAACTCCTCTGTTCCTTCACTCCGTTGAACCAGAAACTGACAGGGGTAATGGAGGTGAAGAACGATTTGATATGTGACGAGTGGCGCTTAAGATATTGGATGAAATATATTTTACGTGAGAAATTTATTAAATGTGAGGTTGGAAATCTGAGAGCACAACCCTGTGAGGAAATGGGTGTCTATCTTTGACGGTGGCGATATTTTATTTTGACATTAAAAATATTTCTCTCTGTTGTGCAGCCCTATTTGCGCTACAGTTTGCCTGTGTTTACACTGACGGATCCTTTGACCCGGATACAGTGAGTGAAAGAGTTCAGTTTTACGCCGCACTCAGCAATATTCCAGATATATGGCGGCGGTCTTTAAATAATCGAGTCTGGTCCAGACAATGCAGTGATCAACAGCATGAGCATCGACCTGCGCAAATAGGACACGATGACATTTGTCAACCAAGCCAGCGAGCCTGACCACCCAATCCCGTTAGTCGCCTCTTACGACAAGCACCCGGGTACAAAACGCACGGCTCCAACATATCACAACCCTCAAGACATACTAAATCATGCAGACTACAGAAAATTTCATTCTAACACTCACTGAGCGGGCTCAGAGCAATAAAAAATCACCAAAAACCAACCTAAACTAATAAACGAGATACTAAAAACCACTCGGGATATGCACGCCTTTGCCAAAGAGGTAGAGTTCATATGGATCCCTGCCAATGTAGGTGCGTTTGGCAACGAACAAGCCGACCAAGCAGCCAAAGCGGCACCTAAACTTCTAGAAGTTACCTTATCTAAAACGAAATCAAAACAGAAATCTCCCTAATGTGCTGAAGTTGATACCAAAATTCAAATTCTAAACTAAAAAATCTACTCCAAAATCCGTTCAAAAAAACTAAAATGACTACCATAAACCTAAAAATATTGACATGACGATGACCAAATTACAAACAGGTCACACAAAGTTAAATTCCCATCTACATGGAATAAAATAACACCAAACAGACAAATACACTCACTGCAACGAAACAGAAACGCCCGAACACGTCCTACTATAAATCAAGTTAAGTGAAATTAAGATTACGAATCCTCATAATTTTACCTTGCCAAATGAACATTTAAATCTCAGATTTTTTTTAAACTTAGGATAAAAGTTGTTTAACAAACGATCATAGTTTCAAATCGCTATTATTGGTTTGTATTACAAGAGGGTGAGCGCAGTAAATGGAACACTGAAACAAAAGCACGTGCGGTACGTGATGAGCGTTAACTTAAACCAACACTACTTGTTCCCGATGTTTCATTTAAAGTGCATACCCCCTTGTAATACAAACCAATAACAGCGATTTGAAACTATGATCGTTTGTTAAACAACTTTTATCCTAAGTTGAATAAAATTCTGAGATTTGAATGTTCAATTTTGGCAAGGTAAAATTATGAGGATTCGCAATCTTAATTTCACTTTATTCGATTTCCCTTTTTGTTTAGAGTGAAATTCATCGGTACGTTTTCACTGCAAACAGACTATACACTGCATGACCACCAACAACAGAGTTCACTGGACACTAACAAACAACAAACAAGTTGTTTGGTGGAACAACACTCCTAAGCCCACTGAATAACACCCAAACTTTCATGTATATGTTTTATCAAAACTGGCCTCCAATGTTGCATATAATCCCTCATAACCAGCTGGTGCTAACATAAAATAACCAACTAAACCATTCTATAGAGATGACAAAACTTCATCGCCATTGACGTCGCCATTGTCAAAATTTATCATCCAAAAAAGCTTTGTCAGCTCTGTACCACCAACTCCTAGAATGCCACCCAAACAAATAAGCCATCCTATAGTTCACCTACACCCCACCCCCAACACACACACGCACGCACACACACAGAGTACTGGCAAATTTCAAAATTCATTACAAATTCAAATGTGCAATCATAATCGTTGCAGGCTATGGAGTAATTGCGTTTGTCATTTTAGAAGGAAAGGGATGATGGGCTGCCTCATGGTCCCACGTCATTTCCGGTGTCGAAATCACGACATTGCAGGTATATTGCTAGAAGCGGCGTAAAACCATACTCAATCACTTTCGACAGAACGTACACCGAGCTCGTGCTCGCTACACAAATGAAGTTACAAAACACCTTACCTTACCTTCATGTAAAATACTTTAATTTCATTGGTCAGTGACGCTTTTACAAGTTTCCGTGTCGCTCCTCCCAGGTGGGTGACAACTGTAAAAAAAATTCCCGGGTGCCACAGTATCAGTCAAACTCTCCGCAGAGAAGCTGTGTCGCTAACAATCGTATGACGTCATAATATGACGCATGCCGTGCCCGGAGTTCGAAAACCGTTCGATAGGCTGTTTTTGTGTTCACTTTGTACAGATTTATGTTATCGACTTTCACTGCTATATTTAAGCTATGTTATACATTGAGCGGTTTGCACACTCAACTTAAACATAATCAACGATTTTTATAGCAGTTTTAAGCTTGTCAGAATATGTTTCACTGATTTTAAAAATCAAGTCGAGAGGGAGACGCCATTTTGTTTACATGTCATATTGTCGGTCGCGATCTTTAACATAAAATAAACTGATGTTTTGTACATTTAACATGGCGGTAAGATAAATACGTTGTATGCTTCTCCCTCGGGTAATACGGTTCGATGTCGCCTTTTTGTAGCAGTGTCATCCCTGCTCGGGTGACACTGCTACAAAGAGGCGTACATCAGACCGTATTACCCTCGAGAAAAGCATACAACTTAAAGTATCTCCCCAGATAACTAGAGTTAATGTTTACATTTCCAAAGTATAATATGAGGTATCTAATCTGCAGTTAGACTGCATATATCTTTCAATACACAGCGTGTATACTTCAACCTTGACTACAAGAGCACTTTCAAAGACGTAATCACACATGGTACAAAGGTCTGTTATCTCGAAAAGGGTCACAGTTACATATATATGTCACAACTATTACTGTTGATCAAGATTAAAATAGCCATAGATTGAACTAACACAAACAACTATTAAAAACACATAGTTTTTCAAATCTTTTTCAGATACCCCTGCAAAAATATAGTTTCATTTCGTCGCAACCTGTTGTGCATTTACATTGCTTTAGCTCAGTCAAAACCTGTCGTGAAAATCAATATGTCACACTGACCTAGAAACCCTTTTAAAACAGTAAATAAATGTAGGACGAGTGAGTGAGTGAGTGAGTATGGTTTTACGCCGCTTTTAGCAATATTCCAGCAATATCACGGCGGGGGACACCAGAAATGGGCTTCACACATTGTACCCATGTGGGGATTCGAACCTGGGTCTTCGGCGTGACGAGCGGACGCTTTAACCACTAGGCTACCCCACCGCCCCTAAATGTAGGACGAAAAACATTGTGAAATAAGATGATTTTAGATATTTTGAAATGTGTATTTATGTACCAGTTTATTTGAAATGTCCTCTCACCAGTGATACATGTTTTTTTTATAATGATTATCTCCCAGCCCCGAACTTCAGTGCAGAGGAATTAGACTGACTGCCCTGGCTACCAACTATTTGTTTACGGGGACAGTGATGTTTACAAACAGCGACAGCTCAGATTTTATGTGGTGTCGTTCAACACTTACAGGGTTGACGGGGTAGTCTAGTGGTTATTTAAGCGTTCGGTCGTCACGACGAAGACCCGGGTTCGATTCCGCACATGGGTGCAATGCGTCATTAATACGAATCGGAATGAAAGGTCAACAGTCGTGAGTGTTGGGCGCGCGAGTGCGTGGTCAGGCTCATTGACTGGGTTGACACGTCATCGTATCCCAATTGCGTAGTTCGATGCTCTTGCTGTTGATCACTGGATTGTCAGGTTCAGGCTAGGTTATTTACAGACCGCCGCCATAAAGCTGTAATATTGCTGAATGCGGGGTTAAACAAAAAACCAACCAACGTTAAGGCTATGAACACAAACAGAGGGGCATTTAAGGCCAGCTGTAGACGCGTTCAGTACAAGGCCAGACGTTGTAATTACTACTCTATGTGAATCGGAGACGCTGTCTGTAATCGTTAACTCAAACACTACTTTGCATCACAGCATTTGTACAGACAGACATTCATAAATGCACGAATGGGACGCGATTCGCTGGGTATGTACAGTGTCCTTTAAGACCTCACGATTTTCCTGAATCATTGTGTAATCAGACGCGATAAACATCGCGAACTTAGGCAATGCTCTGCACAAAATACAGAGCGTTCGCTGATATGGGGCGGTATGGAGCTTGACCTTTATATATGTCGACTGTAAATCTCGTTTATGCTTAACTGCGCACATTGCACTTACACGGGGAATAAAGTGGGGTGAAGTACACTTTAAAGTCGCGTCAAAGATGGCTGCATATATTTAGCTACGAGCGTGTCTTGTGTCTGTGGGTGTGTGACTGTATATAGCTAACTTGCATAGCGCTAATCCCTGAGATACCATGTCGCAGTTCACAATTATTGTCAATAGCTAAACTACGTAGAGACGTGTATCGACCAGGAGTCGACCAATTCCATAGCCTTAATGCGGTCAGACGCTCTATTCTCTGGACTATATGACAGTCGCAGACGGATGGATGGATGAATATTGTTTTGTGGCTTACGGTTTAAGCAATATCACGGCGGGGACACCAGGAACGGGCTTCATACATTTACCCATGTGGGATTCAAACCCGGTTCTTCGAACACTTTAACCACAAGGCTACCCCTTTCTCGAGGAGTAGGGGCGGTGGGGTAGCCTAGTGGTTAAAGCGTTCGCTCGTCACGCCGAAGACCATGGTTCGATTCCCCACATAGGTACCATGTGTGAAGCCCGTATAATTATTCTGGATAAGCTCTTTTTCTTTTTACTTATTCTACTTTCTTGTCCACTATCTGTCATCTTTATTTGCGGAAATCTAAATTACCTATGTACATGCCAAGGAGAGGGTATTCTAAGTTGGAAAACTTGCTCCTTATCCTTTTCTCAGTGAATAAAATATGTTTAAAACAAACAAGCCCGGTTCTGGTGTCCCCTGCCGTGATATTGATGGAATATTGTTAAAAGTGGCGTGAAACCATACTCACTCACCCTGTCTCTTAATACAAGAGACCGCCTCCGTGTAGAATATGCTTAGTCTCTGAATATATAAACCATACTGAGTATATCATATAATGAATCCCATGTTGCTGGCTCACACCCCGTGGTATCTGTTGTCAACGGATATAGTTTACCGACATTAACCCTCCGTAAAGGTTCGGAATATATCTGCCCAGTATCATTCAGTATTTAGAGGCCACCAGACATCGCGGGCATAATGCCAACTGTTGTGTACAAAAAAACCATTCACTCATTTATGCTTACACCTGTTCAACTATTTACTCAAAAATAAATAGCTGTTTGCCGCTAGTGTAAACTGAGTGCCGTTTCGTTAATATGGGCAGCTGCTGCCATTTTGCCATATGCAGAATTTAGATATTTTACGTACGCCTCACATTGATGATATATTCATATATACCATACGACCATAGACGCTTTTGTAATCTCGTTGAGGATCAGCACTGGGTGTAGTCTGTCTCACAGTCCTTGAACCTTATTATTTTCCCTACAGCCTAGCAATGCTAAACCCCTCAATACAGCAAGTCTAGATTTCTCCAGGTTCTGAATCTCTGGTCCCTGGGGCTCCTTTTCAATTTATATTGGTTTATTTGTTACAATCAAAATTATATATAAATCAGAGGGGGTGGGGGTGGGGGGTGGAGAGAGAGAGAGAGAGAGAGAACAGAAGGAATGAAAGCAGGACAGCGGCCTTCCTTAGCAGGCAACAGCCTGTGTTGACTATAGGTGTTCTGCTCCCTGTAAACAGCTCTTGTCAAAACAGCTACAGGCTGTTTGAGTACTAAATGAGTGAGTGAGTGTAGTTTTACGTCAGCTTTAGCAATATTCCAGCAACATAACGGCGGGGGACACCAGAAATGGGGTTCACACATTGTACCCATGTGGGAATCGAACCCCCACCGCCAGTCATGTGTACCAAGAACCCAGACATAATGAACCTGAAACGGACTCCCACAAACACTGGGACAGTTTGTTTCCTGAAACAATGGCCTTCAACTTATGATCTGGCAGCTATGTGTACCGAGTCCTAGGTTAAAACTGAGGATAGGGGCATTTTTCACCCATAAGAAATATTTAACAAAACATGCATGCATGCACACACACATTGTTGCACAATCAAAAATACAAATACTTGCATTTGAAGGCTAGTTTTTCACACTGAGAAATTTGGATGCATTTGACTACTCATAGAAAAAACAAGAAGAAGTATGATTTAATTTATTACAAAAATTTATTTACTAAAATGAGGATCTAATGATGGAATGAAGTTAAGCTTGGAGGCTGCTCTTGGCAGTATACGCGAGCCACCAGACCAGCACAGCCACCAGGGCGGCTACCATCTCAGTCTGGATCAAAGTACCTTTCCACACTCCCTGAAAAACACAAATTAAAACATATTCAGGGTCTATTTTGTTTTAAGCATCTGAAAATGTAACTGATAACTGATTGGGTTTATTGTGTTGGATTTAAGAATTTGGCATGTATTATTCTCTCTTACAATGGTGTATTTATTACAATTATGATGTAGGCACAGTTACCTGGTGATTGAAGGTTGTGGAGACGAGGGGCTTAACACTATCTGCGCTCTCACCACTCCTCTGGGCCTGGGGAAAGATTACCATCACATTAGGAAGATACGAGACATGTATATCACTACTGTATTTCAAATCAAACAGTCATTATCAAACAAATATGAAATCTGATGATTGGGAAAGACAAATTTATGCTCCAGTGGCCTTGAAAATAATATGCATACTGGCAAAAAAAACAGAAATATTTGACCATCGGCAATGAACAAGTAACCCTAATGAAAACATCAATGTGTAGGCCTGTTCAGTTGTGTTCAACACTGTTTTGAGCAGAAAAAGGGTACCCAGTGGGATAAGTCATATGACAATTAACATTCTAGCACCTTACAGACAGCCTGGGTTATCCGGGGTAACAATGTCCATTATGTGTTATGCACGTAGAGCATGCCCCTGCGTCAAGGAGTTCAGAGTGGCCTTACCATTATAATGGAGATAATCCCCAAGTAAGTTTTACTGCTACCAAACGATGCAATAAATCATATACACAATTTGTCCATAAACGAAATCATAAAATATTTGTGTTTGGGCACAGAATGAAAATTTCTTCACGGGGAAAGGATCGAATATGCCAACAAGACAAAGACACATCAACACGATCAACCTTCAATGGACTGAACGATACAGTCCACATAAAATATAGTCAAGATAAATACAGCTGAATCCCCACCTTTCTAAGTAGAGAATATCCTTCTTCATCAAAGATGCGAATCTCATAGGATCCTGAGGGCAGGTTTTTGTGTTCATCACTTATACTGATCTGCAAAAACAAAATTATACAAATTAAATCATTGTGTGAGTGGGTGAGTAAGGTAGGTTTAACACCGCTTTTAAAAGTATTCCAGTATTTCACAACATGGTAGATTAATGTTAGAGGAAAGCCTGAAGTGATGCAGGCCACAACCACGATTATAGTGCTGACAATTTCTATTTGAGTAAAATAATGTGGAAGACATAAGTATGAAGAATGTGCATGACATTACCAAATGTACGTCTTTTCACATAGCCAGATGCTCACATACAATTTGCTATCGATGTGTTCCTCCCATCCACAGATTTGGAGACTGGTTAATCGACATCCTAAATATATTTGATTCAGATCTGAAATTGACTAGTCGGATCCTTCAGCATAAGCATGTTAGGTTTACATGCTTGCTTAGTTGTTTATTCATATTTGGAGCTGAATATCAACCCCTAAACAGGTCTGGTAGACTCTGTTCAGTGGTCAGTTGTGTTTCCCATTCAATGCAGCACTCAGCAGTATTCCTGTCATATGACAACAATCTGTAAATAATTGACACTGGGCCGGACAATCCAGTGACTGACATTAAGGATGTTGATCCTCTCAAATGGGGATACAAGACTTTTACTCCATTAATTGCTTCTTACAAGTTCAGGTTGTTGGCAGGTCTATATCCCCACATGTCCAACAACAATAAGGGTTCCCTTAAACTACCTGGTATTTGTTTCCTTCTTTGGTTCTTGTGGCAGGAACAACACGACCAGCTACTTCACCATAAAGATTTAGATTCTGAAACACAAGCAATGGAAGGGTATGAATGAGTATGCATATATCTGACCATATGCTTTACATATTTTCCAATCATATGAGTACAGAATTGGTCATTATGTGATGTGTACCACTACTACCAGGCATTTTGTTTAAAACCATTAGTTACCGAACTAAATTTGTAGAATAAGTATGATGAATGGGTATGATAGTGTTCTCATAATGAAGAATTAAAATGAGAATATGGAGTAATGTTTGTATGGTTACTACATGGTTATGATTTGCAATCTGTCCCTATTTGACTAGTTTTCATTTGTACAATAGAGAAATAAGGTATCACGTTATGCTCTCTTCTGATGCACTTTCATTTTCAAATTTTGCAGAAAGATTTATGAAAAATTACCTTCAAACCATTTTTACAAGTGAGTGAAAACTGGGTGATAAATATTGTCTCTGTAGAAACTGTAATTTCTGGTGTTGTGTAACTTTCTGCTGCAACAGTTGGACCAAGGCACTTGTCACCTGAAATATAACAATTATATTAGCACCATTGGCATGATAACTGTGTTTAAGTAAGTGATGGATGATAAAATGTTTGGAAGACAAAAGAATTGATCAACAAAATCCGGACTGCATAAACATGTATTTGCATGATTAGTACTATTAATTGAATACTACCCCTACTACAATGTTGCTGGAAGTGAAGTAAACAAAGTATTGATCTCATGATTGGAATACTTAATGTTAACATTACTGCACACTACACATATTCATGTGTTAACTGTATATGGTACCTCGTTAGAATGAGAAAGCCACAATAACTCGGTGCGCCTAGTGGCAGCAAGAGTTCTATACTCCCCAGAGAGTTGAGATTGATAATAGGATGTGCCGTTGAGATTGACATCCAATGATCGAGGGAAAAATACCAGCGCCTTGAGCATGCACTAGTTGCCTGGATATGTGCGCTATATAAATATCCTTTAATAATAATAATACCACTTTTATCAGCTTTAGGAATCCACTCTCCTGAACTAAACATTGCTGATGCAAGCATATTGTTAATATTATCACTTGCTTATCATCAATCATGCCAAATGACGAATTTGAATTTATCAAAATACTGATGGCAGCACAGGAACAATACGTAAGATCATAGGTGAGCACACGCAAAGAAAACTAGTGGTCTATTTTGACGATTACAGTCGACAAGCGTGCTTGGCTTCCCAGAACATGCCACGTTTGCAATCGAAGATGGGTGTACGAATATCCTGAATCGGCGAATACCAGCGTTTGAAACTTCCCTTCGCTCGTTGATAAATGTTTTGGAAGACTATTTAACATATAACAATGTTAAACAACTCACCAGATGCGATGACTGGTAGCATAACAAGAGCGATAACAACAAGCATCTTGCCGGTGGTAGCCATTTTGTGAAAAAGGAAGTGTGACGTGGTGGCGCTGTGACAGGGGAACTAACTCTAAGCTCGTTCGTGCACTCTCTTTTATTCATTTCCTCTGCCCTGAAGCGAAAATCGTTTATGGGTCTAGTCCCAGGACTGCATGACAGTCATCCTATTGGATCATCAGTATTTATTACATTTCAATGAATAGAAACATCTCGTAATGTTACGTAAGCCTTTTTAAATCTTGTCTAATCATCAAACGTATGTCCCATGGCAAGTGGAGTATATTTGTATATCCTAAACAGATATGACAAGAAGTGAAAGAGCCCACAGCTTTTACCATTATAAATAGTTCACAAAATAAGCTTCTCTGGAGACACTGATACCGCTGATGGATACATCTGTGTCACAACACTAAAATGCTTCCTAAATAATTCGATTTGAGGAGTGGCGGTGGGGTAGTCTAGTGGTTAAAGCGTTGGCTCGTCACGCCGAAGACCCGGGTTCGAATCCCCACATGGGTACAATGAGTGAAGCCCATTTCTGGTGTCCCCCGCCGTGATATTGCTGGAATATTGCTAAAAGCGGCGTAAAACCTAACTCAGTCAGTCGATTTGAGGATGATAGTTTAACGTCGATATAAAGAATGTTGCTCCAATATTAGTTTAAGTGTTTGTGCGCGTGTGTGTGCGTGCGAGTGCGTTAACGTGTTTAGATACCCTGCACGGTATACAGACCACCTTTTCGCACGTACCTGGATAGTGTGACATACATCAGGATAACAAATATATCTGACACAGGACATGCAAGTCTAGAATAAGTGGCAAGTCTAGATTTCCAGTTTCAGGAGAAAGTCTCTTGGCTCCTTTATATTTTATTTTGTGAACATAATTTAGAAACTTTTGTTTTGCTGTTAAATCGATTCATTTCAGAGACTAGACGTTAGTCCAGTATAGACGGGGTTCGAACTACCGACGATCCACCTAGGAGACAGACTCGCTATCCATTACACCACGGAGGCGTTTCACATAAAGAAAAATGTTGGGTAAATGACTTGTTTATTGTTGAATTGAAATGGTCACCCTATGAAGGCGTGCTCACAGAGAAACTTTCATATGATAAAGATATATGTACCTAAAAACTTGACCCCTAACGAACCAGGATGTTCACCAGATGTTGGCGACCATATCTCTTCTTGTCTATGCTTGATTTCAGTGACTCACGCATGTCGCTGTGTGTTGGTTGTTCTTCAGCCCCGGGGCGATGGGTAGCCGAGTGGTTAAAGCGTTGGCTCGTCACGTTGTAGAACCGGGTTCCCCACAATGGGTTAAATGTGTGAAGCCCATTTCTGGTGTTCCCCCTCTTCTTAGTGGAAATATGGGGTCCCGTAAAGCAGGGAGAATAGAAGACGTAGATTATCCCTGCGTAAAGTAATGAAATAGTGCAGAGAACTGTGCTGTATGATTTAATAATTACTTTAATTAAATCAACTTTACCTTTCTTGTCAAGGATTTAGTACAATGAATATTATCGTTCGTATATATGGATTGTCGGGTTTAGACTGGTTTATTTACAGACCGCATCCATATATTTAGCTGATTGCGTCGTTAAACAACAAGAAAATCGATCGATCAAACCAAATGAACTGTGTCATTGGACTGCTGCAGGGAGTGTACGAAGTCTTCAAGGGACACAACTCTTACTGGCTTAAACGAATCCTGAAGCTTGGCCCGCCTCTCGGTGTGGGATCTGACTACCGCTGCATTTGTGTCTTATTTCGGAACGAAGTCTGAATAGACGCCTCCTTTGTTAGGGAGCAGTAACTACATAGACAATAGTCTTTATTCAGTATTGGAGGCCTCGTAGCCCAGATTACAAACTGTTGAAATACAAATATTGTCTACTGTCTATTGTCTATTGTCAATAACTACATAGGTCATACCTTCATTTCACTGAGCAAGGTCGCACGTCCAGGTCATCACTTTCATATTTGGCTGCCAGGTCCAGGTTTGTTTACCTCAATGTACCTTTAAACGCTGCAACAGACATGGAAATATATTTCTGTCATGCACTCTAGTGAGCCACATCGTGATGACATGATGACATGTGAAATAATTTGAAATGAATATAAACGTATTGGTGGTACTTATTTAGTGATGAGTCCGTGCATTAAATTAATCTGACCTGTTCTGACTTCAATGTATGTATGGAAACCTCAACGACCAGGACAATACTTTTCCAAGTGGAATCGCAAGTGTTTAAAAAGATAACTGGATAAACGAATAATTGGTTTACGTGGTTACGTCCCATTTTTCGACCCCTCAAAAGCAGGATTTCAATCTCTATCAACATAGTTTTAACTGTAAGATATACACTGCCACGGCTGGTCCTGCAACTTTTGGACTTTTTTTTAAACATAAGCCAAATTAGATTACAAAACGGTTCCCAGCCACGTCTACTCTACTTGAAATCAGCACGAGGAAATTGAGATTTAGATGTGAGAAATTATTTCGTTATCATGACGGGTTCGTTCACCCCTATTCCTGTCGCTGTTGGTGAGTTGTGTCTACCACTATGAACTCAGCATCTCCAGAACACTGATTTAAAATTAAACAAACCCGAAAACATCAAAATAATTTAAAATATTCTCCGATACAAATGCATATGTTGCGAAAGCATATTTTTGCGATATGTAAACACTAAACATTAAAAGCACTGTTTCAACTATAACAAACTCCGACATCTGAAGCTTGTACAGTCTGTTTATTTCAACAACTCATAAATAGTGGGTGCAGAAAGTGGGCGTGTCTCACTACTGCGATAACGACGTTAACATGGTCCCGTCGTGCACGTTCACTATCACCTCTAGATAACACAATCTTGTGTCACCTGCCAACCCACTTACAACACAAGGGCGTGACACAACCCCGCCCACTTGACACTGTTTGCGTACAGTGTTGGTACTTGGCTCGCTTGCCCAAGCTCCGTCAGGTAGATGGTTTTTAAATAGGCTTTTATTGTGTTTGCAGCGAGAGGGTCAAGAGGAAAGTCCATATTTCAGAAGGAAAGCTACACAACAGAGAATTACCCAGACTTACGCTCAGTCTGTACAAGTCACTATAATCAATTTTAAAAGGAGCACCAGTGAGACGGAAGCTACAAGCCTTTGGACATCTAGACTTGCTTCGTTAAGAGTTATGGCATAATAGTAGCTCAGCCTGGTTCCCTGGGTCTGTTGCGCCTGCGCTACGCTCCGACACTGAGCGTAGCGCAGGCGCAACAGACCCAGGGAACCAGGCAGAATAGTAGCTGGGCATGCGGTAAGGAAAACAAAATTTATCGGGAATATCTTTGAAGCAGCATAGTGATATGTCCAAGCCAAATACATTCCTGCACTACGGTTATAGTCAACCAGAGATTTGTTTGTTGTTGTTAAGCGCCGCTCTCAGCAATAGTGCAGCTACTTGGCGGCTCTGTATATAAGCCTGGACCAGACAATCCAGTGATTGACGTCATGACTGACTGACTGACTGAGTTTGGTTTTACGCCGCTTTTAGCAATATTCCAGCAACATCACGGCGGGGGACACCAGAAATGGGCTTCACACATTGTACCCATGTGGGGATTCGAGCCCGGGTCTTCGGCGTGACGAGCCAACGCTTTAACCATTAGGCTACCCCACCTCCCCTTGACGTCATGAGCATCGATACTATCCCGTTAGTCACCTCTTAGGATAAGCACGGGTTACAGAAGACAACCCAGATCTTCACAGATGTTATCAAAGTATGGGACAATAGCTGTTCGTCCATCCTTGTTGTTTTATAACGCGCGGGACTGTTCCTCGTGCTCAGGGTTTTATTTAATTCTTCTTCTTAGAATCTTCATTACATGTTTCTGAGTGTTACCCTATACAATACCATCAGGGGATGTCGCGTCCATGATCATAGTAAATATATATTCTTGTGTAAATCTTCTTAAAAGAACAGTTTTTGGTTTTGATGTCATTTCCACCTGATTTAAACCTGTATTTAATGTTTGTCCTGGCTTAGAGCTCGACTGTAACAGAAACACTAGGATTGGGTGGTCAGGCTCGGTGACGACTTGGTTGACGACGCGTCATCGCCCCATTACAACGTGACTTCCTGCTTCCAACACCATAGAAACGAAGGGTTATACATACTCAGCTGTATTACATCTGGAATATTGCTTTATGCAATTGACAGCGGCATCAAACACATTACATCATGTTACCGAAAACGTCCAAAGCGTCAGTAAAATATACTCATGCCAATAATGGTTGTCACCCCCCTCCCCACCCCAACCTCACACACACCTAACACCCCGACACCGACCCCCCCTCCCAATAAAAAAATTGAAGGGGGTGACAACCATTCTTGGCATGAGTATATGATCCTGGTGAACACAGGGACAATGGTAAAGCTGGGTAAGTGAGGGAAAACGCCCCCTGAGAACGCCCCAGTATATCAGTTATATCACAGTGTGTCAACTGAGTTAGAAGCTACAGCCCAAGCGGATGTAGGTGTGATGAACTACCGCTAGGGTAATACCCACAAACAAGGTTGTTGCGGATGGTTTGATGAGGTTTGGATATCTCTGAAGCAATTTAATTTCCAACAAAATAGCGTTTTGGTTCTTGATGTTAGTTTATATCATAAGTGGTACAGTTCAAGCATCATCCCTTCAAAATAATAATGAAATAATATTATTATGTAAGGATAACGTCGTCCTCGGTCAATATTGCTTTTCGCGGGTCCATAAAAAAACAGGTATTGACTTCATCACCAGTCTATAATTGTATAATACATGTATTTCAAATTATCATCCAAAACTGTGTTCCACTTAGGAGATAAACATCACGTGTTGGCCAATTTCCGGGTGTTATTGAGTATTTGAAGCACGGGAATTCATTTGGAACCGACTGAAGATTGTGTGTGAGATCAAATTGCTTTGACAGTAGATTTTGTGCACTGCCCTGGCATCATCAATTACATGACTCCCAATGCTATGATGCCAAAAACTTGATGACGTCACAATGCTATGACATTACTGCACCACAAGTCTAATGGCAGTGTCGTGTTCAGAGATGTACATTTCCCATCCAAAACTAATGAAGGGTGATTTTGGATGATAAATAGAACCTCACCCAAGTGTCCACTGATATCAATTATATCAACCCGAGTTGAAAACATTACAAATATTCGAGGCTTGCTTGTCATATGTATGAAATAATCACACACCTCCCACTGTGATCATTATGATAATTAAGCGTGATGTGTTTGCACAGCATGTTTGGCACCGACCGCACTGAGGGGATGGCCCTGACACATAAAGATTACACACACACACACACACACACACGCACGCACGCACGCACGCACGCGCGCACTCACACTCACACACACACTCACACCACTTTTTTCATTCCACCTATCTGAAAGTACTCTGTGAACAGTATGGTACAAATCTGTCTAATTGCAATATTTCGAGAATGAATGAATACAATGTTTGAATGAATAACATAAATGACTACTCAGTAACACATCGACTATTCTGTTACACAAGCTTGCGCAAACGATGCTTCATTGTCAGTCAAAGTGCTATCCAATACGTACATGTGTCTATATCACTTTAACATAAGACTATCGATCTGACAAGTTGGCATGCAATGCAGAAACTCAATAGCTAATCAGTATGCTTTCTGAAACAGTGATAATGTGTTCCACGTTGTTGGGTGAATTATACGACGTCCTCGGCGGTTTGCTGCTTGCAGCTAATTAATAATAGATCTTCTTGCAGCCGTATGTGTGCTCCGGCAATCAAACCCGGATATATCGACAAATGGTGCAACCATAGCTGGTCCATCAAGGTGAAAGCGGTACAACTGGATCGTTAACCTGAGAATACCATTAGATACTTCCTTTGAAGGTAGGGAGAGTTTCCATTGACTGCTGCATCCAATCAGAGGCCTTGGATTATCGTGTGATTGAATGCGCATGCGCAAATCTCATCCAAATCATATCTCAGTCCTGTGACATCCCATTAATGGCCGCAAAGTTTGACCAACAATGATAATAGGACCAACAAGAAGTCATAATTAGCCAATCCGGAAGTAGTCTTCTCTAGCTTTATTTCACAAACCGGCTACACCAAGACTACGCTTTGAAAACTATTTTGACAAAGCCCACAATTAAATATTGAAAAATGAACTGAAGAAAATTCTGGAATGCCCTTCATCACTGCAATTATAATACACATATTTCCGATACGCTGAGGAGTGTCTTCTCCGTTGCAAATGTTTAGTGAAGCGAAATATGGACGATTTTGCAGACCGTGCCAGACGTTTGGAATACTTCGTGTGAACCGTTTCGATTTTAAATGAAAACACAGTCCAATTGTCACGTTCCCAGTCTGGCAAGCGACGTGGTTTGATTGGCCAGAAAGGTTCTGATGTTACCCGTTGTGGGATATCCACAGATCTGTGTTAAGTGAGTGAGTGAGTTTAGTTTTACGCCGCACTCAGCAGTATTCCAGCTATATCGCGGCGGTCTGTTAATAATCGAGCCTGGACCAGACATTCCAGTGATCAACAGCATGAACATCGATCTGCGCAATTGGGAACCGATGTGGGAACCGATGACATGTGTCAACCAAGTCAGAGAGCCTGACAACCCGAACCCGTTAGTCGCCTCTTACGACAAGCATGGGTTACTGAAGATCTTCACGGGTTCTGTGTTAAGAGGTAGCGAGAACAGAGATCTAATTTAACTCTCATAAACTCAGTGAAGGTATACGATATGAGAGAGTGCCATTTAACTCTCATAAACTCAGTGAAGGTATACGATATGAGAGAGTGCCATTTAACTCTCATAAACTCAGTGAAGGTATACGATATGAGAGAGTGCCATTTAACTCTCATAAACTCAGTGAAGGTATACGATATAAGAGATTGCTGTATAAGTAATCACGTTATCAGGTTGCACATCTGTACCACAAAGAATAAATATACCTGGCACAGACAAGCAGGTGGTTGATACCATGAGCATTGATGCGGGTATTTGGCACCAGCAGTTGGCGACTTTTCACTAGTGCCGAACGTCCGTTCAATGAATCATTTTGAGGAATACTTTCCTTTCTACACCTAACTGAAAGTGAACGTCCGCAATACAAGGTTTTCGGATTAACAAAGTCCGGGCAATGGGAGATTCAGAGTGATGTGAATTAATGAACCGAATACAGAGTCCTCTTGTGTTAGATGAGGTGAGGTGAAATGGGGTTTAACGTCGTACTTCAGAATATTTCGCTCATATGACGACGTGCATACGTGTGTATGTGTATGTGTGACTGCATGTACTAGCCCAGACTTAAGCTGGTTTTATAGTGCTAGCCCACTGAGATACCATGCCGCAGTGAAGCATGAATACCCTACACATTATACTGACTCCGAGTCGACCAGTCCTTGTACCCATTAATGCCGAGCGCCAGACAAGGACCAACAAGTACCAAATGTAATGTCTTTTGGTATGACGCGGACGGGGATCGAACCCGCGACCTTCCGCTCTCCGGGCGGACGCTCTAACCACTACACCACGGAGGCTAGTCTGTCTCACAGTCACTGAACCACATTATCAAATTATATATATTCAGAGACTAAGCATTAGTCTACACGGAGGCGGTCTCTTGTATTAAGAGACAGGGTGAGTGAGTATGGTTTCACGCCACTTTTAACAATATTCCAGCAATATCACGGCGGGGGACACCAGAAATGGGCTTCACACATTGCACCCATGTGGGGAATGGAACCCGGGTCTTCGACGTGACAAGCCAACGCTTTAACCACTAGGCTGACCCAACCGTCCCTACAGGCTAAGACTTGGGAAGCAATAACATGCGACTGTGTAACCTTACTATTCCGGACACCTTTGCCCTGTGGATAGTTACTGTAAATAGCGGCTGTACCCACATATACAGAACATCGCTCACCCAGACGAGGTTTGATAACGGCATTTGATAACTTAGTGAAGGGAAATTGAGAAAAATATCGATAATATTCATATTCATAAAAATCATTTGCAACATTTGGATAAAGTACAAGCGTATGGCTAAAACTGTGCGAAACGTGAAACATTTCAAACCTTAATAATCGGAATTCTGGTGCGTTATCCACGATGGATGTTTGTGTTGTGTTTATTTATGTATCCTTAGAAAATTAATATGGGGTAAATATATTGTCTTGAAAAAATATATGAATAAATATACTTGAAACCGTCTAAAACTGGAATAAAAGACTCACGTTCACCAAAGCGACTGTTGTGGTATTACTGTCAATGAATCCTAGTGTTGAAAAACTAATTTTGTCAAACTCTCATTCTGCATATGACCATATCTTATTACTTTCATGCATTCCAAAATCTATTCTTGCAAATTTGTTAATTTAATCGGCCAATGCATATGTCGGATAGTACCTCGTCATTTGTTCGTAACGACGATTTCAATATGCACGTCGTTGTTTGGTTACACTGTAAATCATATGGTTCCTCCTCGTTGACAATGCGCGTAAAACGCTTGTGTTTTTTATTCCATTCAAATGTCTTGAGGTCATTCTTAAAACGACACGTCAGCAATCTGGCTGCGACGCAAGTCTTAATTCCGGCCATGTGGTTTGACCCTTTGACATAATCATTAGGAAACCAGCCCGTTCTGTTTCCATGGAAATGTATAAATTCCCCCAGGCTTTAATCATTTAATCCGTACTGACAATATGGATGTATTGCGTGTCCGAGCTCTAGCATCACCGAGCTGTTGTCCCTGATGAGTGCGTTTCTCACCCAGCCACGAGTGCTAAAATACCATAAACCAATCTGTTGTCTGCCTCCGAACCTGCAGTTCAAATAACCATAAGACAAGGTCAACCGGAGCATTAGTGCCGGTTGACTCTTGAAACACTAAACGTGGTTGGCCGATGGATGTGTAAACGTCGCTGAAGGCGTGTTTGACCTCCCACTGCCCTCCACATAAGTGTGTTGATTTGCAGATATAGTTAAACCCGGTTTTTGCGTCGGACAGTTAAACCTTGATAATCCGAACGGTTCACTAAACTGGAAGTCGTCTTGATTTAATCCGCTACGGAGTAACGAGCCATTTGGATGTTTGTTTTTAACGTCGTACTCAGCAATGTTTCTATATAACGAAGGTCTATATATTATGGAGTCTGGGTCAGAAAACCCAGTGATTGACATCATGAGCATCTGAGTCACCGACCACCCAATCCACTTGGTCTCGTCTTAAGACCAGCCCAGGTTGATGGAGAACCTTCTCAACTGGAGGCCCCACGGTGTCATTGGCAGTAATGTATACAAATAGGTTGCAAAATGCGATCGTCCATAATTAGAGATTTCTGCATTAACAGGGTGTCATTCTATGTACTCAGAGACAGGACTGAGCCATTTCACGATTGGTATGTGTATTAAATACTTTAAACGAAGATAGGTCCCGGGAATTTGAATAATTATGATTATTACTATTTGGATAGCTTTAACTCGGATATTTCAGAAAATTGAGATCGATCACTTCCGTGTGGATAGACTGTCGGTCTGAAGAGCGGAAGGTCCGTGGTTCGAACCCCGGACGCGTAAAACCAAAAGACGTTAAACGATGTTGCTTGTTGTTACCTTGCCTAGACCTCTGCACGGAGATACAACACGAACTGGTCGGTTAGGAGTCTGAGTGGAGTAAGCATGTTAAATTGTGACATAACGCACGCGCACGCACGCACGCACACACACACACACACACTCAAACAAAAACAACAAACAACAACAAAAAACAAAACAAACAAAACAACAACAAAAAACAACGTTGTATAAGCTCAATGATCTTGACACTGCCACCATAGATAATTGTCGCGGTGGGGTAGCCTAGTGGTTAAAGCGTTCGCTCGTTACAGCGAAGACCCGGGTTCGATTCCCCACATGGGTACAATGTATGAAGCCCATTTCTGGTGTCCCCCGCCGTGATATTGCTGGAATATTGCAAAAAGGCGGCGTAGAACTGAACTCACTCAGCTTAGATAATTAAAAAATGAATTTATATTGTATAATTATGACAGCAGTGCATTGTAAACTCACATTGTGCTACAACCCAGCATTGTTCTATAAGCCACCAAAGTACTATCAACATCGCGCTATCAGCTGCTCTCAACCTTTCAGGGTATACGTGCCATAAAGAGCACACTTATCATGTTTGTAAGTCACCGCAATTTAGATGACCTTTAAATGTTATTAGCTCTCTCCAAATCAGCATCGTAAAGTTGAGTTTGTATTTGCAATACACGCGATGACATAGCACGCTATTTTTAATCCCAATCAATAATATTCATCAGCCAATGCTGAAATAAATTTATTAAGTTGAGGGGGATCTCTTGTATGAAGTTGTACGTGACATTTGTCTCCAGATGTGTCCAACACTCCCCGCTTATAACAGGCAGAACCGACAGAGATCGGTTAGGGACGGAAGTGAAGAATTTGCACTAACTGCACGTCGAGAGGAAACGACCGATCACAGCTGATCCCACACTGCTTGGTTTAGGATGATAATCCCTGTCCGTTTTAGTCCCCATGTTCAGGTTTTCTATCTCCCTATCCAATATTTACTGACGTCTGGACATGTATACCTACCCACCTCGCTATACCACGTCAACAGCCCAAGAACAGAAATAAATGATAGGAGAAAAAAGTCATTTTGTCACGTGTTGTCGATAATCGATAGCAAATCAATAATTGATAACTCAAGTGAGTCCAGGTAACAATTGCTTGGATTTCCAACAGGCGTGGAAAGTGGGACAGGATCGATTTTACCTATTTTTATCCCTAATCAGCGACAGCGAGTGACAGGCGAGCGATTACATCTGTGCCAGGCAGTTATAACGAGGACATTTAGTCTAGCGGGCACGGGATATCCCGAGCAGACAAGGGGATACCTTCATCAGGGCACAGGCGACTGGACACGGGATTTACCTGTCTGACTTACCTGAGCGTTACCGTTACAACAGGTAGGTAACAGTACGTAGTAGTTAAGTAACAAGTTCGAATGTTACTGTCGTGAGTGTAGTGACAGGTCGCCGTGAGTGGATGGGTCAAGTTTATGAAGGGTACCGGAATTCGCGTGCATGTCATTGATTAACAGGTGGTACGTTCGTCAGGAGAATGTATCCGTGTGTTGCACCGCTGTGACGTATGTCAACGTGCTTAATATACCTCGCCATGGATATTATAATGAACTAGCATAACAATTGGACCGTGATGCTTGGAGGGTTCTGTATATTAATGCTGACGTTACACTGCAGTTACAGACGACGGTGTGACTGGATATCTGATTTGGTTTTCCTCATCGTAGTGAATTGTATCCCCATGATCTGTTTTAAATGTGTGTACATAACTTCCTGCGAGTTACCACCCATTTATGTAATGGTGGATAATGATCAATAACCACCTGGGCAACGCCAGTTCGGATCACAATTGTGTACAATCTTACACAGTTAGGCCTATAAGTAAATATATACGTTTTTCCGCCTTCACGGGACATCGAAAGGTATTTTAACATGACAATACGTGATTAAAATGTTGAATAAATATATATTTGATCACAGAGACCACTTTCGTCCGATGATGATTCGTGAGGTGCATTTTGCTTTCTGAAAACAGATCATTATACAGCACTGCAGCACCTATTTTTCATGTTTTGTACAGTTTTTTATATTGTTGGGTTTTTTTGGTGTGTGTGTGTGTGTGTGTTGTTGTTGTTGTTTTGTTGTTGTTTTATGGTATGTTTGGGTTTTTTGGGGTTTTGTATTTTTGTTTGTTTGTTTGTTTTTTTTGTTGTTGTTGGGGTTTTTTTGGGGGTGGGGGTTGGGGTGGGGTATTGTACATATTTCGTTGTTTTACTTTTTGTTTTGTAAGCTTTGGCTTGCTTTTCTGTTGTTGTTATTGTTTTGACCCTGTTTGATCTTCTTTGTTTTTTTGGATTGCTTGTTGGTTTTGTTGTTGTTGTTTTGGGGTTTTTTTTGGTGGTTTCTTTTTGTTTATTGTTGTTGTTATTTTTGGGGGGTGTTGTTATTTTTTTGCTTTTTGTTTGTTTTTGTTTTGTTTTGTTGGTTTTTTTTGTGTGGGTGAGGGGTGGGGGGTTGGGGTGTTTTATTCAAAACGTCACTCACTATCTCATCGTTATAGGATCTTCCCCTCTCCTTTTGCTGTGTAGAGTTAAATCCCTTAGCGGCACAAGGCATTTGTGATCGTGGGTTGTAGTCCCAGACCGACCTTCATCATTATATCCCGTACCAAAAACGCGTGATCGTGAACTTTACCAAAGTCTGAGATCTGCAATACTTGGCCCATCCCTCCAACATCAAGTTGAGACACCGCGTTATAATTGTAATTCTTCACCAAGAGACGTTGTAAGTCAACCACTCACACACTCTCACCCTCACCCCCACCCCACAGTCATTGACTGTACACAACATATACTACCCATCTGAAATCAGATCCATTTCTTATATTGGTTGGGACACGCTCCACTCTCTCCCCAGGCCGACAACATGCAGCGCTCCTACATAATTGATAAATCTGTGATCCAAATAGCAGTGTTTATTACCGGCAACACTGTCTTTAATGTATAATTCATGCACAGAAATATTTCCCCCCACACCATCCCAGTCCTATATAACTCACACCGGACTGCTATCTAGCGGTTCCGCATGGCGACTCTTCAACATCACTGTATGTAAAGGCTACTTATGACCAAGGTAAGCTGTCAGAAACTACATATCCTATTCTTTTCAAGGATACATGCAACATACCACGAAAGTCGGTTTGAAACCTCCTGAATGTACACAGAATATCCAGTGTTAGCCAGCCTATTGTTACTTTCTCGTAACGGGGATAACAACACTCGTGATTACGACAGTCAGCATTTTTTGTGACCTACCTCGTCATAGTTGACCAAACAAATACCGTGTTATGTCTTGGTGCGTTCCGGCTTTACGAATGTTTCCTCTGTATTCATTCATTCATTCATTTATTCATTTATTCACTTATTTATAAGTCCTTATTTAGGTCTTAAAGCCTTTCAGTAAAAGTCGATCACTACCTTTAATGATTTTTCAGAGTTTATCCCTCGGTCAGGTTGCCCGATCCATCTCACAATATATTTTGAGGTAGCGGTAGGGTAGCCCAGTGGTTATAGAGTCCGCTCGTCAAGCTGAAGACCCGGGTTCGATTCCCCACATGGGTTCAATGTGTGAAACCCATTTCTGGTGTCATTGTGGCATTGCTGGAACATTGCTAAAAGCGGCGTAAAACAATACTCACTCACATTGCATTTTCAGCTTCGATATAAGACCGTTTCCATGTGCCCCGAAATACCGCGTGACTCCAATAAACGTATTCATTTCACCACCGTTTAGCCCCGGCTCAACACAAACGTTTACTTCGTTCTAAGTGATATTGCACAGCAAGTAATTCATTTCACTAGCCAATCTGCAGATCTCTTTTCGGGATCGACTGAATATCAGGATGTTGTTTAAATAAATGAACGCATGGAAGTGCCGTCCTGTTTCAATAACAGTTGACCCAAGCCTGCCCTTGGGCGAGTAATATTTCTCTACAGATTATCCGCCTACAAAATGCGCCATTACGATATATTCAAGCTGTAAAACTCTGCAATAATAGACATTCATATTGAATGAACCATATTGCTACAATAGATCGTTGTTATTATATCACAATCAGCACGACTGAAATAACTATATTGCTTTTGTAATCATTTTTGCTCATATCTAATGCAAGTACATTTCACCAGTCCTAGGACGATCGCGGATAGAATTGGTCTTGCTTGTAAGCAGATGCCACTAACGGGATCGGTGCTTAATCCATGTCATCGTGTCCCAATCGCGTAGATCGAAGCTCATGATGTCAATCATTGGAGTGTCTGGTCTAGATTCGACGTAATATTGCTGGAAAATTGCTTAGTGCGGCGTTAAACAACACAGAAACACACACATATATATATACATACATACATACATACATACATACATACATACATACATACATACATACATACATACATACCTACACACACACACACATACATACATACATACACATACATACACACACACACATACATACACACACATATACATACACACACATACATACATACATACATACACACACATACATACACACATACATACACACACATACACACACATACATACATACATACATACATACATACATACATACATACATACATACATATTTTGCAGTGAGATAGTCTGCTCTGTCAGTTATATCAAATATGGCGAGTGGCATTAACATGATACAGTTAGAATCCAGAGTAGTTATATTATTGTCAGCAAATGTTAAAGTTAAAGGCCATGGTTGAAGGTCATTGAATTGTTGTCAGAGCGACCACTAGCGGGGTGCAACGTGGTTTAATGTTCAAGAATCCCGTACTTAAATAGCGATGTCCATGCACGTGCTAGTTTATTGATTCCGAGCCAATAAGCCATTGTTTTACGCTTTTAATGCCGAGCCCCAATCCCGGGCAATAACAGAACTATCATTTACTGTTTTGTGTTTTGATGAAAAGATCTGGCACTCTATTATAGACACACCTGGAATGTAGTATCACAACGGACGAGAATTATTATCTCTCATCCTAAAGTATACGAGTACATAAGTTTGATAAATCTAGATTTATTCATCTCGGAATGGTTACATTGTCCGAGTTCATTTTCTATTATTTAATTGATAAATCTAACAAATATAGTCTGAAATAATTTCAACAAACAGATTAACAGTAAGTCTACAACAAATAGTGACAGGTTTTTTTCAAAACTGGAAACACCTGCGATTAGAAGATGAAATAACGTAGTAAAAGTTGCGACTAGCTTGTTCTGCTAAACTATACTAGTGTATTACATAACAAGGACCATGTGCTACCCCCTAGACAAATGCTTAGTCTCTGAATATATATAATTTTGATAGTAACAAACAAGCCCATTTAAATTGAAGAGGAGCCCAAGGGAGACCAGAGATTCAGAACCTGAACCTGAGGAAATCTAGACTTGCTTCATTTAGGGCTTTAGCACTGCAGAGAGGGCTTGGCAGTAGGGACAATAGTGTGGTTCAGGGACTGTGAGACAGACTAGCTACCCCCGAGCGTTCACATAAACAAACGATAAAATATTCCAAGGAGGAATGTACACAATCTACACTTCAGATATTTACATATTTTACATAACTCTACATACCAGTATGACATAATTGCCCAGTGATTAGTAGCAGCATTCATTATCAGCTAAGACTTTGGTAGCAACAATTGTTGTCTTAATGCATGCAGATCTTCGGGAGAACCACTTTAGAACACATCTGGCAATAACAAGGCTCCGATTCACTGTCCTTGTCAGAAAATTAATTTCATCACACATATTGTTGAGATCTGTAACAGTAATTATATTTTAATATATTACAGTTTATAATGAACACGGGTATAACAAAATGTGTGAGTGAGTAAGTTGGGTTTTACGCTGCTTTTAGCAATATTCTAGCAATATCATAGCGGGGCACACCAGAAATGGGTGCTTCACACATTGTACCCATGTGGGGAATCAAACCGTGTCTTCAGGTCGACGAGCGAACGCCTTAACCACTAAGCTACCCCACCACCCTTATATATAACGAAACGACTGATATGACGAACGGTTTGTTTGGTCCAAGCCATTTGATGTATAGTTTAGCATTGCGTATAACGAAGTACGGTTATAACGAACTGAGATTAATTATCCCTCTGAGTCAGCTATATTCATAGTTATGTGTATCTGTATATTTTTATTAATTCTGGTAGTTTTTAACGATAAACAGGATGTATAGTTCACAAACGCTTGCGAAAAGAACAACGATGTTTATCTGCAAATCATCAATTAGATCGCCTCGTGTTGTTTCGTAATCGGATATTACTGTTTTTCGGAGAGTCCTGAGAAAACGTGGGTATCATGACATCCTCAACATATGTCATGGTGACCGAGGTCACAGTGACCTCAGGTAAAGTTAATTTAGTGTGTCAGATATTCTTAATGTTTCTTTATACCGCTTGACAACTTAATATCACTATATTTATGAACTCTTTACATTTATTGTTTACAATGTATTATCCGACATTCAAATCTGCCAAACCAGATCTTTATGTTTTACTTCATGAAATTGAGTTTAACAATAGCCGCCCATCCCATCCAACGTGGTAGACGGGCGTAATTGCGTTTGTGATATTGACAATGTACATAGCAATGCCAAGTGAAGAGCACCTGTCACAATACATTAGAAACCTGATCCATGAAGTTGTCTATTTCAGCCAGTAATAGCGTTAAGTGGGCCATGCATTATGGCAGATAAAAGGGTGTCCGCAGTGTAAATATCAGAACACCCCAACATGGATATGTGTATCACTAAGAGGAAAACTTAGCGACCCGGGTGCAAATATGACTCACGATCTGATCTTGTATTAATGTTTTTGTGTGAATTATGACAGCAAAACATGACAACGTGACTTTGAGGCACTCGTGCTGTATCAGACTAAATGGCCGTAGAACCGAATATGGTTTTACTAGATTGTTTAAAGTAAAATAATAATTTTGTTTTGCATATTCGTAATTCTGTTGAATTTGATGTTTACGAAAATAGAACCATTAAAATTTGATATGACATTGGTTCAGAAGGTTGTGAAATATACCACGCAAAATACGATTCTTGCACATCATATACAGTTAATAGTTTGGGGGTTGTATTATTTTTATTTATTTATTTTTTTATTTTTTTTTTAACGCCGCACTCAGCAATATTCCAGCTATATGGCGGCGTTCAGTAAATAATCGAGTCTTGACTAGACAATCCAGTGATCAACAGCATGAGTATCGATCTACGCATTTGGGATACGATAACGTGTCAACCAAGTCGGCGAGCCTGGCCAGTTAATGGTTAACTTTCATGCCATATGTGATGATTATGTTTTCGTTGTCAGTGGTATAGTGAGAGTTTACGGCAATGTGATCTTACGTCGCTTTGAGCACTCCGCATTTCAGCTGTCAACTGCGTGTTGCTGTCATCTATGGCTGTGAGACAGACTAATCTCTTTGATAAATAACACCTAAGTTCAAGTACAAACACTCCCTTTAAAAATATTCGATTCTAATGATCACGAATACAGAACCCTAATATTTTCTTATAACGTCAGATAGGCTAAAATGCGTTTAGCGGTAAACGCCGAGGAAAATCCCATCATGCATTCATTTAGATGTCGGGTAAATGGATTTCATCTATTACAGGTGTAGGTTGTCCTCGCGGCAAAGTGCACGTGCTAAACATGCTCTACTCATACATCAAACCATATGTCACTAGGTGATATACCTGTCAACAACAGGTGTCAGTGAACAGCTGGTTGTATTAATGTAACCTATCTGTATTAGATAACAACATCCTCAATACAGAATTATTGATCGAGATATGAAGGTATGTCATTTAATAATGTTAAGCCCAATCATCATACTGTGGCCTTGCTTATTAAATATAAGTGAAGTTTTACGCCGCTTTTAGCAATATTCAAGCGATATCACGGCGGAGGACACCAGAAATTGGCTTTCACACATTGTTCTCATGTGGGGAATCGAACCCGGGTCTTCGGCTTGACGAGCGAACCCTTTAACCACTAAGCTACCCCACCGCCCAGATATATTATAATATATATTTTATAATCTAATATAAATGTCAACGTGAAGCAAAGTAACTCCGTGATCCCCGCGTACTGAAGAACTGATGTTTGGGGTCGTACTGATCTGCCGACATATCGATCATTTTATTTAATATTTGCTGTGACACAGACATAATGTATGTCGTCAAACAGACAGAGATGTATGCTCAGGGACCCGTCCCACAAATCGACCTCAGCGTTACGACTGTTGTAATTATGGAAGTTGGGACTGTAACACAAAGGTCGCTTTGTTTGACGAGGTCCAGGTGTGTTTGATAAAAATTCACATTGGTTGTTAATGTTTTAGCAGTACTTCAATTAGGACATTTATGGTGTGAACATTTAAATACAACACAGCCTCTGTTTAAAGTGGGGCAGTGGGGTAGCCTAGTGGTTAAAGCATTCGCTTGTCACGCCGAAGACCCGGGTTCGATTCCTCACATGGGTACAATGTAAAGGTGTCCCCCGCCGTGATATTGCTGGAATATTGCTAAAAGCGGCGTAAAACTGAACTCACACACTCTGTTGGAAGTAATGATGTTTTTAATGGGGACAGTTCTTCTTGACAGTTCTTAGTCTTGACACAGCATGGACGGCATTCCTGTAGGGAGATACTAAATTGTGGTACCAGAGGCAAGTTATGGCCAATAAAATGCACTGACAACTATAGTCTGTCTCACAGTCCCTGAACCATATTATTGTCCCAACAGCATAGCCCTCCCTGCAATGCTAAAGCCCTAAATGGAGCAAGTCTAGATTTCCCCATGTTCTGAATCTCTGGTCTCCCTTGGGCTCCTTTTCAATTTGAATGGGTTTATTTGTTACAATCAAAATTATACGTTCAGAGACTAAACGTTTGAGAACCCTTCTGCTCAGCCCTTTCTGCAATGCTAAAGCCCTAATTGATGCAAGTCTAAATTTCCTCAGGTTCTGATTCTCCCTTCTCACTGGGCTCCTTTTCAATTTAAAAGGACCAGTTAGTTTCGATTAAATTATATATGTTCAGAGACTAAGCGTCAGTCTACCGTCGACCCAACACTGCCCGTAAAGCAAACGCTGTAACTGAAGCAAGTCTAGATATTCCCAGGGTTTGAATCTCCTATCACAGAGGGCTCTTATTTAGTTTAGATGGGGCTATTAGGTTCTGTCAGGGTTATACATGTTCAGAGACTATAAGCCGTATTCTTACAAGCAGCTTATATTAATATTTCTTTGTAAATAACTGAGTATACCCTTGACAATATAAACAGATATATACAAACAAAACAGCTTCTAAGGAACACTAAGTAATTTTTAATGATGTTAAAAGTAATGATGGATAGTTCCTTGCACCGTGTTGGTACCACTCTGAATCTGAATCTAAAATGACTCCTAAATGGGGCTGTTTGTTTCTGTCAGAATTATAATTTTTCAGAGACTAAGCCTTATTCTAAAGGACAGCCTATTTCTTTGTAAATGAGTGAGTATTCTCTGAGTACCCTGTCACAGACATTCAAAGCTTTTCCCAACATCTTCCCCAACCGATAGCAGTTTCCCATCCCAGACAGCGTTAAGTGGCATGTGTCTACTGGTCCTATACGCCGTGGTTGTCGACATGAACGACTACACTGTCCTCTGACAGCTTGTCTCTAATCAAGACAAAGTATCCATTGGCCTTCAGTTTACAGTGTGTGTTAGTCCAGTCTTTACAGTGTCCGCATGTCCAGTCTGTACACAATACACCGGTCAGCTGATATCGGCAAACATGGCCATCGATGTCCGGTCACTTCTTCAGAGGCCAGGTTTGTTTGTTTCTCCCCCTTCTATCTCCTCCCGCGCATCCTCCATCCTCGACACATGTCGCCGTCCATGTTGGCGTATTTACATTGGTTGGCCACCAGTATCATCATCACCTCACATGTGAGGTATTAAATCTCACAATCAATATTAGATGTGTCATAAACGATTACGGCTGACGCTCGTTTCTGCCCTGTGGCTCGGCTTGAAGTAGTAATCTGTCAAGCTACTTTACGAATATCAGTATTTTTCCACTTTCATCGGTTTCTGGCACGCCTAAGGGGCGTAACTCTGCACAAAGAGACCCGAGGCACGTAAGACGACTGCTTCACCCTTGATATGCTGGATAAAAAGAGTTTCGTAGCCCAGTGGTTAAGGCGTTGGTTAGTTAGTCCGGTTATCCGCGTTCAAGTCCCCATATGGGGTGCAGCGTGTGAGTTAGTGAGTTTAGTTTTACGCCGCACTCAGCAATATTCCAGCTCTATGGCGGCTGCAGTGTGTGAAGCCCATTTATGCGCAGAAACACTATCCACTCTCTAACTTAATTTTAATATCTGTGACGATACGATTGTCTTTGAGTACTCCACCGTGAAGATCCAGGTTAGAAATGATCTTCAGTAAGATCTTCATAGGAGGCGACTAACGGGATCCTGTGGTCAGGCTCGCTGACTTGGTTGACACATGTCATCGTATTCCAATTGCGTAGATCGATGCTCACTGGATTGTTTGGTCCAGATTTAATTATTACAGACCGCCGCAATATACCTGGAATATTGCTGAGTGCGGCGTTAAACTAAACTCACTCACTCACTCTTTAAGTACTCAAGTCTGTATGTGACGCACAAACGCATGCACAGAATGGAAACACTTGCATATTAATAACATGTCCCAACACTGGCTGACTATCAAAATAAGGTTTGTTTTCGTTTCCAATTGGTGCTTGAATTAAAAATGATAGATAATACGTTCGTAGAACCTAGCGATGCTGAAAAAATGTTATGTAAAGGAGTGAGTCTAGTGTTACGCCGAACTCAGCAATATTCCAGCTATATGGCGGCGGTCTGTAAATAATCGAGTCTGGACTAGACAATCCAGTGAACAACAGCATGAACATCGATCTGCGCAATTGGGAACCGATGACATGTGTCAACCAAGTCAGAGAGCCTGACCATCCGATCCCGTTAGTCGCCTCTTACGACAAGCATGGGTTACTGAAGATCAATTCTAACCCGGACCTTCGTGTTATGTAAAGGACATTAAGTATATTTACATTAACTTTGTTATTAAATAGCCCATATATATCATCTCAAGTTTCGTTGTCACACGGAAAGGGCGTATAACGTTATGAGGAAAACGTAAATCTTACCGGCTAATAACAGTAGATGTTTAAAACGTGTGTTGATCCGAAATAAAACAACGACGGACCTATTCACACGATGCGAACACTGAGGTGGATTACTGACGGTTTGTTCCTCGCCTTGAAACATTGTGTGCCTCTTTGTATCACGCTATGTCCAGCTTGCCTTCTTAATATCTGTGATATTCACATGTGGGATTCACAGAAGGGCCCAATTGTACTTTATCAGGACACTCAAATGGAGATCGAGTGGTCACAATGCCTGTGAACTGGGCCCAATCATCAACGCATATTGAAGTTAGGTTTGTTTGAACGGGTCGATATCTAATTGTGTCAATTAATCTAGGTATATTGTGTTGCCAGACTCAGTTATAGCCCTACTGTATGTAGACATGTAAATAATCGAATCTGGATCACACAAACCAGTGACTGACATCATGAGCAACGTCTCGGTGTGAGATGACAGTCGTGTTACTTATTTAAAGCTATCAGCTGTAACTTTTCACAACACCTCATACTACCGAAAGTGAGAGAGGTGTGTTTTACGCCGCTTATCAACATTCCAGGAATATCACGGCGGGGGACACTAGAAATGGGCTTCACACTTTGTACCCATGTGAGGAATCGAACCCAGGCCCTCGGCGTGACAAGCCAACACTTTAACCACTAGGCTATCCCACCGCCCCGAAATCATCGAAAGATGTCTTGTCGAGCAGCAAACGTGTAGTGTAGGTTTGTGATCAGTTGAAAATAGGAAATGTTATACATATATAGTAAATGAACAGCTGGGATTTTGTGGACATGTTAGGTATTTGTACTTGTATTGGCCATATCTATGTATTTTTAAGATAATTATATTGACACAATGTTGAATGGGTTTTTTTTACATCCGCGTGAAACGTACTTGACGTATTGATCAGGTTGTCCTTAAACAATCAATATTTGACAGTCCAAGTGTGATAATAATCATAACAATTTTAGGCATCATAACGGTGTAAGAATCTATACCGAAACGTCCCTCTGTGTAACAGACAAGAAGTTGTTATCCATAAACTCATATGCTTCCTTATTCACTTACCAATTTCTGGAATACCGAACAAGCAATTAAATCAATTTAAATGTCGATTTATTTTCAGATAAATAACATATTTTGCCTAAAGTCTGCAGTATGTGACGGGTTGTTGACACGAAAATGCTGTTAAAACATTGGTCGAAATGTACTGATTGTTGACTTATATTTGATCAAACACACATTTGAAACCTGTAATTAACACCTGTGCTGTCGGACATTATCGCAAAATTGCTGATACATACACGTGTTGATTGCACTGGTCAAAAGGTCAGGAAAGTAATTGCGATTAACATTAATACCTTTGACTGACAGCTGTTCATGTATGTAACCATTTAGCGCTTCGGTGTCTTTTTCAAATGGAGATACTATCAGTAAATATGTGTTAATGAAATTAAATGTTTACGCACAAAAAATAGCAATACTCCTCCAACAAATTGTAAGTTTCGTTTCAGTAATGTTAAAGTCTGAATGGATAAAGATTTTGAAGATATCATGTTTGACATATTGTGAACCTGTCCTCTTAAATACATGCCGGTGATTTCGCGAAAGAAATCCGCCTTGCCAAGCCCCCATTCATAAATATCAGCTGTCATGTTTCGTCACTGTGAGCATGCGCGTTGATCACGTGTTGACAGGTGCGTGATTGATGTGATGTCATCAATGCAGAAACAAGAACGTGTGGCTAGTTTGATTGACAGTTGTCATATCGATAGACTTGAAAATCTGGCTTTCGGATATGCGTTTGCGTGGCGGTTGTGTTCACGGTGATCTATTTCACCTGCCCGTCTCCCTTTTCCCCGTGACACCCATACTGCAGACCCCTTTAATCCGGACAAATCCCTGTTTCCGGACGGTTACGTTTGTTGACGTCCGCATGTGCTAAAAGAGTCGACTAGTCTTGGATTTGAAAATCTGGACGGTTTTATCAGTTTCAGCAGATAACGCTTCCGTGAAGATCCTGTTTAGGTTTGGCAACCACCCTATGTCGGTCGCAAGAGCAGCTAACAGGATCGAATGGTTAGGCTAGATTCATGCATGTCATCGTATCCATTTTCTTAGGTTGTGCTCATGATGTCAATCACTGGATTATCAGGTCCAGATTCGTTTATTTACAGATCGCTGTCAGGAACTTTCGAAAACAAACAAAACAAACAATAACCTGAGGAAATCTCGACTTGCTTCATTTAGGGCTTTAGGATTGCAGGGAGGGCTGGGCAGTAGGGGAAATAATGTGCTTCAGGGACTGTGACCGTCAACGTCAAGATACGGGTATTTGATTCAAGTATATATATCGCTGTTTTTATGCATAAAAAGACAAAAATGTCTTATAAATGGTGATGGAAGCTTGTGACTACCTGCAGTGACAGGCCTTTTGCAGAGTAACTTCCCTTATTCAACTCCGGATCCGCCTATCCTTGGCTAATATCGGCCAGATTATTACTCTTGGTGTGTACCGTACCTGGGCTAATTTCTACTTTTGAACAGTGTTAACGGCCTGCATTAATTAAGCTTTTCCCCTCACATTATGATGAAACCTCGCTTATCCGGATTGTTTAAACAGAAACCGGCGATCTTCATAGATACACAATACAGAATAAACTGACATTGCTCTAAACCATGATTGTATATTCTATAGACCTTTGATTATCCGGATGGCTTTTTCTTTAACAATTTACTTGTCCGGTTTAACGGGGTTTCACTTTAACTGTTAAAAAGTGTTCAAATTGACACTCCAACTTGACCCCTCCTTTTGACAGATCAATGCAACAACGGCTCCAATAAATGAAGACATGGATTGAAGAAGGAATTCTTTCAAAAAGTAACCAGTGCCTTTTATAACCAGTCAGTATCGTAAACACAGTCTCCCTCCGTACGAGGGTGTCATGGAGTCGAGGCAGCATCAATGCGTGGAGTGTTCCAAATATGACAACATTGACAGTCAATTACTCTGACAATTGAGGGACATTACTTCACGTTTGAACCACCTTGGAAGTGCACGGTCATCGATTTCTCGCCAATAGCCCAATATTTAATGGAGATCCTAATGAAATGAAAATCCGTGATCCCTTAAAAAGAGGTTATTTGTTGGGGGCAACACTTCGGTTTCCTATTGTGGAGGAAACCAAACCAAGGCATGATGGGATTGTTTTTCGGTAATGGTCTGGGGGATGTAGAGGACCTGGGTCAGTGCGGGTTAAACATCAGCGGGGACGGCCGGTACCGATAGCGTTCTACGTACAGGAAACCAGTATGAAGGGTATGGGAAGCCAGTGTTTCGCTACGTATGTACTTAATGACACAAATGTGTTTTGTCCTGTTATTTATTGTGTGTATGCATACCTGAGTTCTCAGCGCTTCTGGCTCGTTGCTAGAGATATGTTAGTTCTTATTCATGATTTAGGATGGGGTCGTTGTGCCCTCAGAATCAGAGTGTAAGGCGTTTACGTATACGCATGTTAAAATAACGTCGTATCCTTGGAGTGGATAGCTGTTCATGTTGAGATTTGTTGTAATGGTTTTTGTTGTCGTCGTCATCATCACATTATCGTCGTCTTTGTTATTGTTAACGTTATCATTGTCATCATTATCGTCTTCGTCGTTATTGTCAACGTTATCATTAGTATAATTAACGTTGTCGTTATTGTTAATGTTATCATTGTCATCATTATCGTCTTCGTCGTTATTGTTAACGTTATCATTATTATCATTATCGTCGTCGTTATTGTTAACGTTATCATTGTCATCATTATCGTCTTCGTCGTAATTGTTAACGCTATCATTATCATCATTATCGGTGTCATCGGTATTGTTAACGCTATCATTATTATCGTCGTCGTTATTTGTTAATGTTATCATTGTCATCATTATCGTGTTCGTCGTTATTGTTAACTTTATCATTATCATTATTATCGTCTTCGTCGTTATTGTTAATGTTATCATTGTCATCATTGTCGTCTTCGTCGTTACTGTTAACGCTATCAATATCATCATTATCGTCGTCGTTATTGTTACCGTTACGTTATCATCTTTATCGTTGTCATGTTTTTTCCAGGGATACGTACCTCAGCAATGCACGTGTTTCGAGAGTCCACTTGATGCCCCTCCCCTGGAGTTGAGTGCCCCCTTCTAAGATGGGAGGGGCATTTTCGTGCACTGGAGAAGGAGGGCAGGTGGGGGAGACCAGCAACAAACCGTACTTCCAAGTGGTGGGACCAGAGAAGACGCCAGGTAGGTCCTTTTTTACAATATGGACAACTCTGAGAGGCCACGAACTGCATATGTTCACTGATCAGTGTCACGTTCAGATTAAGCAGTTCTTGGGTGAATACAGCACAGCTGTCCAGGCTGATCCCTTATGCAATAGGGCCTCGCTACTTCCGGTACTAAGCTGGTTCCCGGCTCACTTTGTGCGCGCCAACTTGTGATATGCGAGACGGGACCAAGCTTACTTCCGGTTCCAGATTTCCCGTGACAAGCGTATATTCAAGAACTAGTTTTGGTACCAAATTGCGTGACCGCCAAATATAACTTTACTAGACCGGACCAAGTATACAACCATGCTTGGCTGTTACAGCTGTTGACAGTCGTAGACTCATAAAGAATCTCACTTTATTACTTTCTAATTTTGGGGGGATGGTTATATCGGAAATTTGTTATTCCTGCAAGGATGATCGGTTCCTTACTGTCTGGTGACGACCATGAGACCATTCGAAAAGGTATGAAACGTTGTTTGTCATCAAAAGCCTAAGACCATGGCAATGACGCCTTTTTCACTTCAGTACATACTTACATGTCTCCATACATACACTACAACTTTAATGAAGTTTTGGCTGAGCAGGGGAAAACATGAATCACCATGTGTGTTACATAATACTAACGAGAGGCGTCTATTTCGTCACTCAGAAGCCATGAGCCAGGCCAAAGTTTCTGATGTCGCCAGAACGTCGTTAAAAGTGTTTGAAATAACCTAGCCCGACGAGGTTTTGATTTCCTGCAGTACCGTTGTATTGTTATCGTCAGGTGACTCACGTTTTCGTGGCGTTGTGTGTTGACCTATATGGGCGTGAAAAAGTTTTAATGACTTCTGGCCGGGTGTTGCATGCATTGAAATGATCTATATCAATTATATACACTACCTTGAAAGAGCGTTAGTGTTTTATAACCTGAAAGTGCAGTGCTGATAGCTTAACACATACCAGTCCATATACTCTACCCTCCATCCGTCATATCCCGCCCATTTCTATTGGGGTTCCAGATCAGGGAAAGGCTCCAGTGTCCGTTAAGGACTGACACTTAGATGTTGTTATGACACGAATATTGTCAGCGTCGTTCACCAGGTGGCGATTATCGTTGTTCGACTCCTGGTTTGTCTGGTCCAGACTCGATTCTTTACATTTCGTCGTGATATGGGTCGAACGTTCGGGGTTCACTCACTCACTCACTCTCTTGTACGAAGGTCACGATTCAACTACTGCTGTATGACTAAAGGAGATGTTTTCAGTCATTTCTATATCAGCTACCGCTCCGGATATAAAGTAAATTCAGTACAATCACGTCACTGCACATTCACCCACCCTCAGTTACCATCCACTCAGTAACTCACCTACCCATGCACCCACCCAACACCACCCACACGCACATACACTCACTCAACCACCAGCCCACCTACCCATGCGCCCACCCAACCACTCAAGACCCCACCCCCAACCCACTCCTACCACACACATACACACACACACACACACACTCACTCAACCACCAGCCCACCTACCCATGCACACACCCAACAGTTCCAACCCACCCACCCATCAGACACACACACACACACAAACACACACACAACCACCAGCCCACCTACCCATGCACCCATCCAATAGTTCCCACCCACCCATCCACACATACACTCACTCAACCACCAGCCCACCTACCCATGCACCCACCCAACAAAACACCAACCCACCCCTCACACACACACACACACACTCGCTCACACAACTCCAGCTCACCTACCCATGCACCCACCCAACAGTTCCCACCCACACACACACCACACATACACACACACACAACCACCATCTCACCTACCCATCCACCCACCCACCCACACACATACATACACTCACTCAACCACCAGCCCACCTACCCATGCACACACACCCAACAGTTCAACCCACCCACCCCCACCAGACACACACACACAAACACACACACAACCACCAGCCCACCTACCCATGCACCCATCCAATAGTTCCCACTCACCCATCCACACATACACTCACTCAACCACTAGCCCACCTACCCATGCACCCACCCACCCATACACCACACACACACATAACCACCAGCTCACCTACTCATGCACCCACCCAACAGTTCCCACCCACACATACACTCACTAAACCACCAGCCCACCTACCCATGCACCCACCCAACACCCCACCCACACACACACATACACTCACTCAACCACCATCACTCACCTACCCATGCTCCCACCCAACCATCACTCAAGACCCCACCCCACCCCACTCCTACCACACACACACACACACACACACACTCACTCAACCACCAGCCCACCTACCCATGCACACACCCAACAGTTCAAACCCACCCACCCATCAGACACACACACACACAAACACACACACAACCACCAACCCACCTACCCATGCACCCATCCAATAGTTCCCACCCACCCATCCACACATACACGCACTCAACCACTAGCCCACCTACCCATGCACCCACCCACCCATACACCACACACACACCCACACACACACACACACACACACACCAGCTCACCTACTCATGCACCCACCCAACAGTTCCTGCCCACCCACCCACCCACCCACCCACACATACACTCACTAAACCACCAGCCCACCTACCCATGCACCCACCCAACACCCCCACCCACCCACACACATACACTCACTCAACCACCATCTCACCTACCCATGCACCCACCCAACCACTCAAGACCCCACCCCACCCAACTCCTACCACACACATACACACACACACACACGCTCAAGCACCAGCTCACCTACCCATGCACCAACCCAACCAATCAAACAAAACCACCCCACCCCCACCCCCACAACCACCAGTTCACCTACCCATCCACCATCCACTTTATCACTCAACGTCACCCACTCACTCACCTGTAGCCTCCAACAGTCCCTAAGAAGACCGCAGACAGAATACCAAAGAGCATTAGCTACAATCGTCAAGATTAATGTTCAGTCTGAAGTTATCTTTCATGTACCATTATCATTGACATACGCAACGACCTTCTTAATGGTGCTACTTTCTCTCAGTTAAACACACGTGCACCTGTCGGGGGATCTGTACAGCTTGTTATCTTGTCTCGCAGATCCCCGTGTATGCTTGAGAAGTTTCTATTATCTATCGTTGAGCTCCACTGACGGAACAGACAGGTGATGGGCGGATCTCCGTCAGACCCATCTGCCGCACGGTTTCCACAACACATCTGTCGAACAAGTACTGGTGAAAACACCGAGGAAAGTATGGGAAGATCAATTAATGTTGTACATCCATGTATCAGCTCTGCTCTGTTTGCAGCCAGTGCCTGTCATAGTATACTAGACAGACGGTACTTGTCACTGTCCATTAGACAGAAGGTGCCTGTCACTGTCCATTAGACAGACGGTACTTGTCACTGTCCATTAGACAGCAGGTGCCTGTCACTGTATATCAGACAGGAGGTGTCTGACACTGCCCATTAGAATAAGATGTCTGTCACTGTCCATTAGACAGCAGGTGCCTGTCACTGTATATCAGACAGGAGGTGTCTGACACCGTCCATTAGAATCAGATGTCTGTCACTATCCATTAGAATCAGATGTCTCTCACTGTCCATTAGAATCATGTGCCTGTCAGTTGGTGTTTGTCACTGTCCATTAGACAGTAGGTGTCTGTCACTGTCCATTAGACAGAAATTACCCGTCACTGTATATGAGACAGGAGGTGTCTGACACCGTCCATTAGAATCAGATGTCTGTCACTATCCATTAGAATCAGATGTCTCTCACTGTCCATTAGAATCATGTGCCTGTCAGTTGGTGTTTGTCACTGTCCATTAGACAGCAGGTGTCTGTCACTGTCCATTAGACAGAAGGTGCCTGTCACAGTATATTAGACAGCAGGTGCCTGTCACTGTCCATTAGACAGAAGGTGACCGTCACAGTATATGAGACAGCAGGTGCCTGTCACTGTCCATTAGACAGAAGGCGACTGTCACAGTATATTAGACAGCAGGTGCCTGTCACTGTCTATTAGACAGAAGGTGACCGTCACAGTTTATGAGACAGCAGGTGCCTGTTACTGTCCATTAGACAGAAGGTGACCGTCACAGTATATGAGACAGCAGGTGCCTGTCACTGTCCATTAGACAGAAGGTGCCTATCACAGCATATCAGACAGCAGGTGCCTGTCACTGTCCATTAGACAGAAGGTGAGCGTCACAGTATATTAGACAGCAGGTGCCTGTCACTGTCCATTAGACAGAAGGTGACTGTCACAGTATATTAGACAGCAGGTGCCTGTCACTGTCCATTAGACAGAAAGTGACCGTCACAGTATATTAGACAGCAGTTGCCTGTCAATGTCTATTAGACAGAAGGTGACGGTCACAGTATATTAGGCAGCAGGTGCCTTTCACTGTCCATTAGAGAGAAGGTGACCGTCACAGTATATTAGACGGCAGTTGCCTGTCACTGTCCATTAGGGGCGTTGGGGTAGCCTAGTGGTTAAAGCGTTGGCTCGTCACGTCGAAGACCCGGGTTCGATTCCCCACATGGGTACAATATGTGAAGCCCATTTCTGGTGTCCCCCGCCGTGATATTGCTGGAATATTGCTAAATGCGGCGTAAAACCAAACTCACACACACACTGTCCATTAGACAGCAGATGCCTATCACTGTCCCTCAGACAGGAGGTGCCTGTCACTGATCATTAGACAACATGTGCTTGTCACTGTCCATTAGACTGCAGGTGCCAGTCTGTCTATAGACAGCAGGTGCCTGTCACAATATATTAGACGGTACGTGCTTATCACTGTTCATCAGACAGCAGGTGCCTATGACCATTAGACAGCACGTGCCTGTCACTGACCATTAGTGGGGCGGTGGGGTAGCCTAGTGGTAAAAGCGTTGGCTCGTCCCGCCGAAGATCCGGGTTCGATTCTCACATGGGTACAA